TTTCAGCATGACAATGCCCCTGTGCACAAAGCGAGGTCCATACAGAAATGGTTTGTCGAGATTGGTGTGGAAGAACTTGACTGGCCTGCACGGAGCCCTGACCTCAACCCCATCGAACACCTTTGGGATGAATTGGAACGCAGACTGCGATCCAGGCCTAATCGCCCAACATCAGTGCCCGATCTCACTAAGGCTCTTGTGGCTGAATGGAAGCAAGTCCCGGCAGCAATGTTCCAACATCTAGTGGAAAGCCTTCCCAGAAGAGTGGAGGCTGTTATAGCAGCAAAGGGGGGACCAACTCCATATTAATGCCCATGATTTTGGAACGAGATGTTCGACGAGCAGGTGTCCACATACTTTTGGTCATGTAGTGTATGCATCTGTTGGTCACAGATACCTTAAAAAAAGTAGGGGCATAGATCAGAAAACCAGTCAGTATCTGGTGTGAACACCATTTGCCTCATGCAGCGTGACACATCTCCTTCGCATAGAGTTGATCAGGCTGTTGATTGTGGGCTGTGGAATGTTGTCCCACTCCTCTTCAATGGCTGTGCGAAGTTGCTGGATATTGGCGGGACGTGGAACACGCTGTCGTACACGTCCACCCAGAGCATCCCAAACATGCTCAATGGGTGACATGTCTGGTGATGCAGGCTATGGAAGAACTGGGACATTTTCAGCTTTGTTTCAGAACATTACATTATCCGGCAACAGCTCTGGTGGACATTCCTGCAGTCAGCATGACAATTGCACGCTCCCTCAAAACTTTAGACATCTGTGGCATTGTGTTGTGTGACAAAACTGCACATTTTAGAGTGGCCTTTCATTGTCCCCAGCAAAAGGTGCACCTGTGTAATCAATGACCATGCTGTTTAATCAGCATCTTGATATGCCACACCTGTCAGGTGGATGAATTATCTTGGCAAAGCATAAATGCTCACTAACAGGGATGTAAACACATTTGTGCACAAAATCTGAGAGAAATAAGCTTTTTTGTTCATTGAACATTTCTGGGATCTTTTATTTCAGCTCATGAAACATGGGACCAACACTTTACATGTTCCGTTTATATGTTTGTTCAGCGTACAATGACGGCCTGGCAAGAGTAAAAAAAAGCTTCATGTGGAGACGGGGGCTGGGATAAAAAATGGTTTTAAAAAATGGATAAGACAAAACAGACAACACAGACAGAAGACACTGGCAACAGCACAAATACAACAGCAAACAAACATTAGATGTATCTGTGTGCATGTAGGCATGTGTGTTGTGTGTGTGATTTAAAACCACATGCTTCCTTATAAGGCAATGCAAACTAGTGACAACTAGAAACAACTACATGTCATAACTATCTGTTCATCTCTTTGTCCTTTGAACCTCTCCAGGGACACCAGGTCCTGGAGTTTTAGGTTGGCTTGGAGCGAATTTTAAGACCAGCGGGCTGAGTAATGAAAGGACCTTTTTCCATGCTTGGTTCTAACTTTCGGGACTGTTAGCATAAAACAAGATTGAGATCTGAGCTTGTATGTGTTTTCATTTTGAGCTGGAAGAGAGGATGGATAAAATGGCACACATAATCAAATGTAACGCACGCACGCGCACACACACACACACACACACTCCCCCACCACACACACACTTCCAAGGCCTCTTGTTCAGTGACAGGGTGAGCCTGTGTGAAGTGAACAGAGTACAATGACTTCACTGATGACAGACGTCAGCACAGCCCCCTGACTCACACACATACAGACACCTCGCTCTTTCCTGCTGGACCCTATCGTCATCAAACTGAGGAAAACAATGGGCCAAGCCAAAAACCCTTCCTAATAAAAACCCTCAAACGTGATTCTCACAGTGAGCAGTAACCATTCGAAAACAGAGACCTTTTCACTCAGATCATCATTCTGTTTTTGATGGCTCAATAAATATTTGAGTAGGAAACAACACCCTGAAGGCCTGTTTTATGATGCTAAACAACAACTAGCACCGCTGGTTCTGACTAAAGGGACATCCGAAGGGTTTCCAAATGTTGTTGGGCTTATTGAGCAGCGGTGGCTGCATTTTAAAAGTAAACAATTTGGATTGCTACCAGCTCTTTTAACATTCGTCTCACCTGAAAAATAAAGAAGCGGTATTGGAAGATTTTCTGTGTCTAAGCAGATATGTGTCCCCCCCCCCCCGGGTCAAATGATCACTTCACCCCTGACAATGACTTGTGTCTCATTCCCCCCCCTCTCTCTCTCCCTCTGTTCTCATAGGATAAGCATTTCCAGCTGTTTTCACAAACATAGTGTTGAGATTGGTGGAGGGAGATAATATCTCTCTCTCTCCCTCCCTCTCCCTCTCCCTCTCTCTCGCTCTCTCTCTTTCACACACACACACAAACACTCACTCTCTCTCTCTCACACACACACACACACACACACACACACACAGTGAGACACGGTCTGGGCATTACTCCCTCCAGTTTCTTCTCACAGTGACTAGCTAGCGGTGATCCCAGGGGCACGGTAGCTACGGAAACTAGGCCAGAGACAGGCCCATGAGACTGCACAGCCCCAAAACACAACTGAACACATCACTGGCCTGGGAAGCACCAGCAACAACTAACAACTTGCAATACATGTAGGATGCCTAATGGTTGAGTAGGTCTATGTGGATCTGTTGGCTATTGGTGCATGATGTTCCTTGCAGGTTAGGTATAATAACTTGTCTGTAAGCTATGATATCCCAAAAGTCTGCATGTGTGTAAATCTTAAAGAGATATTGATTCATAAGCACACTACAGGGAAATTCAGAAACTATAATATATTTGCCTGAGTGAATGATTATGTTTGAGTTGACAACATATAGTATGATCGTATTTAATGAGTGTTTATAATAACTTGTTTGTTAGCTATGTATAGAGTCCCACGAGTCTGGAGTGAAATGAGATATTGATTCATATGCCTGCTGTAGGCAAAGTTCAAAGATATCACTTTCCCAAGAGTACAGTAAGCTGCCTTGAGGGACCCATAGGTAGACTACAGTAGCTCTGTGTTCAATTGTACAACACAGAGGATGACTACTAAACTAATAGATTAGTATATGATACACATATAAGGGTAGCCTATCCAATCATTCACTTTGGCTAACACCTGCATGATTCTAGACAGGAGGTCCTGTACTAACAGTGAATCTGTCTAATCAGATTCGTTTTAGCTTGAATTGGCAATAAACTATGTCAGGTCTTGTGATTTATAATATAATATATGCCATTTAGCAGACGCTTTTATCCAAAGCGACTTACAGTCATGCCTGCATTCATTTTTAGACTGGGTGGCCCCGGGAATCAAACCCACAACCCTGTCGGTGCAAGCGCCATGCTCTATCAACTGAGCCATACAGGACCACTTATGTCATAAGTAGTATGTCATACCACCATTTATGACACAGGTTGTTATCATTCTCATGACATAGTCTCTACAGATGTGGTATTCTAAGAAACTCCCAGATATACAAACTAGGCTATATTAGTTCCAGTTGAATAATGAATTACTGTTCGGTTCCCATGTTATTGAAAAGGACGTGCCACAGTTGTAACCTGTCATTACTTATATTGTGGGTATTGTCACTAGTTATAACCCTTCTTTATATTCATTGGTTAGGCTATAACACATTCAAATGAATGACAAGAATAGATATGTTCTAAGAGGCCAGTGCCATACACAGAATATCCCATATCCTACACCATTTGATAAATGGAGATATTGATTTGCAGACTGAATCAATAACTCGTGAATCATAGGCTAGTTGAATCAAAACTGTGATGAGCTGCGATGACTGGTATATGCTATAAGTGGTGAAACCTTTCCTCGTGTATTATATTCATAAATAGATACAGAATAGATAACGTAGTCACTGTAGTTCGGATTTTGAATGTACCCAGGTAGGTAGATAAATGGTGAGGGGGGTATCCTACTCACGTAATGTTTGGATGGATTGCGCCGCTTCTCCACGTCCACGACTTTTACATCCAACACTGTCCGAAACTGCATCTTGACGTTGGAAATGGCTACAGCATACACACACAATAAATGCAATATTCCAGTTCCTGTAGCAGGCTATAGCCTCTGCAGTTCAAAAAACGTTGGAGAAGAATATAAAAAGAACATTCATTGAGTGGGTTGTCGATTATAGCTAATGTTCCGGCGCAAGAAATCAAATGTCTTGCCTTGAATATGCGTAATATACCCAAATGCTGAATATATCATAGTCCCTATCAATTCAGAATCTATCTTTATATCCCTAAAACATTCTGCCAGAAATCCAAAAGGCGAGATCTTCACGTTGGACAACAAGGCAGGCTGGCCAGCGGTCGCATGCTGAGAAGGAGGTCACCTCAAATAGGAAAGTGGAGCGAGTTCCTTTGTGTGGACCACAATACCTTCGGCGAGGGGTGCATACCTGCAGGCTATATAGGGTTGGGGTAGGTTAAAAAAAAGCCACCGAATTCACCGCCAAATGCCTCCGGAAGCAAGCAAGGCGCAGAGCAATTTGGGGTGGGGGGGATCGATCGAGTGGGATGGGCTTGCTTGTCGTGCCTCCTCCAGTTGGATGAAGCACTTGGGGTAAACTGTGTTGTAGAAGGTTGAAGTCCCATTCCAACTCATAGTTTATGGAATACTTGCATGTAGTTTTGTGTATTTTGGCATTGTCTATATGTTTGTATACATTTAGATATGATTTTGGAAAAGATGTGTAATCATTGTAATAATATTTACGCAGCTGTAATGTTTCCTTAAAGTGCTCCGAAGAGTGGCTACAATGTAGTTAATTACAAACAAATGTTGGACATCACACTGCGCTTGGACCATGTAAGGATACTTTTTATTAATGTGATTGGTTTCAGCATTACAATTAAATTATCTCCATTATCCAAAGCATGTATGTTAAAATAACCATTAAAAAGGCTACGAATAGCTATAACAACCTATTTGTTCCTTAGGCCTAAATAGCATAAACTATTCCATATTGCTTCTCATGGCTCGCAGTTTCTTTGACAGCGCTGGCAACTGAGTCATAAGCCGCTATAGGCTGCTCTCATCAATAGCTTGGACGTATGGATACAGATGTTTCAAAGTGGACCAATCAGCGACGGGCTGCATCGCGGAGCATATTAACGACGAAATACTGCCCCCGTGTGCAAAATGAACATATGCTCCAAATTGAGTTCTAAATTCAGGTATTATCCACATCATTTACACAACTTTAGCACATTCATTTAAAAAAAATATATATATATATATATATATATATAGTAAAAACAGCTTGTCCTGTACTTGTTAAATATACATTCATACATATGTACATAGCTCTAGCATGATTGATAGCAACTGATATCTTGAAGATGGCCATGTTTATTAATAATCAAATGTAGTAAGCTATTCATTTAGCCAGGGTCATATTTATTAGGGCACACAGTATATATCTTTTTGCAACGGAAAACGAAAACATGCGTTTCTTATTAGGCAAGTTCGGATAATACCTCCCCGTTTCACTCCATTTCAGACAGTTTGTGGAATGTCCCAGAATGTCTAAGTCAGCATCAGAGGATAGTGTAATGACTGTCGCTGGTGCTGATAATGTCACTATTACACTCCAGAGCTTTGAGGACCAGCTCCAAGGCTGCCTTGCTCACATTGCGACTGTACCTCTGTCTCACACTGGACAGGACATGCAGGATGTGGCATCCCTTTTCCGCATCTGGCAACGCGAGAGAAAGACCATCAATACATATTATAATACACTGGTATAGCACTGGTGGAGCAGTATATTGTAAAGTACTCTACAGAAGTAAGAAGAGGGGAAATTGCCCTTACATTTCTCTCGTCTGCAATCTTCCCTAAGAATGTCTCTGATGGCCATGAGAAGATCTTTGTCCTGTTCCGTTACCTAAAGGGGAGAAACATAGTAAAACTTGTGTTATTCCAATATAACCTTCAGTCACCACAATACTGGTGAATAATGAAAGATCAGTCTCAAAATCTTTAATTCTGGTATGCTGAGCACTTTGCTTGTGTCCCACATCCCATGAGCGTTAGCGTTAATGTGTTTGATGAGCTTCACATAGCAATTAGTTCCTCTGTGATATCTATCTTCATGTGCTGCTGCTGCTTACATGGTAGACTTCATCCTGAGATTTGACCTTGCGGAACACCAAGCCTTCGTCCTCCAGGATCTGAAGGCTCTTCTGGAGGAGCTCCCTGAGCTGTTTGAAGGATGTTGATGGACCTGATGATGGACCAGCCTCAGGCTCCTAGCATCAAGTCAGATTTCAAAAAATACGGTCCCACTTTAAATGAACAACAACTTAAAAGCTTAATGATGCCTTCATAAACTCTTTATAAGGCCTACATAGATGTTTCACAAATGATCAAGGCTATATGACTATGACAGACAAATTGAGAAAGAAAATTCCAGAAAATCACATTGTAGGATTTTTAATGAATTTATTTGCAAATTATGGTGGAAAATAGGTATTTGGTCACCTACAAACAAGCAAGATTTCTGGCTCTCACAGACCTGTAACTTCTTCTTTAAGAGGCTCCTCTGTCCTCCACTCGTTACCTGTATTAATGGCACCTGTTTGAACTTGTTATCAGTATAAAAGACACCTGTCCACAACCTCAAACAGTCACACTCCAAACTCCACTATGGCCAAGACCAAAGAGCTGTCAAAGGACACCAGAAACAAAATTGTAGACCTGCACCAGGCTGGGAAGACTGAATCTGCAATAGGTAAGCAGCTTGGTTTGAAGAAATCAACTGTGGGAACAATTATTAGGAAATGGAAGACATACAAGACCAATGATAATCTCCCTCGATCTGGGGCTCCACGCAAGATCTCACCCTGTGGGGTCAAAATGATCACAAGAACGGTGAGCAAAAATCCCAGAACCACACGGGGGGACCTAGTGAATGACCTGCAGAGAGCTGGGACCAAAGTAACAAAGCCTACCATCAGTAACACACTACGCCGCCAGGGACTCAAATCCCGCAGTGCCAGACGTGTCCCCCTGCTTAAGCCAGTACATGTCCAGGCCCGTCTGAAGTTTGCTAGAGTGCATTTGGATGATCCAGAAGAGGATTGGGAGAATGTCATATGGTCAGATGAAACCAAAATATAACTTTTTGGTAAAAACTCAACTCGTCGTGTTTGGAGGACAAAGAATGCTGAGTTGCATCCAAAGAACACCATACCTACTGTGAAGCATGGGGGTGGAAACATCATGCTTTGGGGCTGTTTTTCTGCAAAGGGACCAGGACGACTGATCCGTGTAAAGGAAAGAATGAATGGGGCATGTATCGTGAGATTTTGAGTGAAAACCTCCTTCCATCAACAAGGGCATTGAAGATGAAACGTGGCTGGGTCTTTCAGCATGACAATGATCCCAAACACACCGCCCGGGCAACGAAGGAGTGGCTTCGTAAGAAGCATTTCAAGGTCCTGGAGTGGCCTAGCCAGTCTCCAGATCTCAACCCCATAGAAAATCTTTGGAGGGAGTTGAAAGTCTGTGTTGCCCAGCGACATTCCCAAAACATCACTGCTCTAGAGGAGATCTGCATGGAGGAATGGGCCAAAATACCAGCAACAGTGTGTGAAAACCTTGTGAAGACTTACAGAAAACGTTTGACCTGTGTCATTGCCAACAAAGGGTATATAACAAAGTATTGAGAAACTTTTGTTATTGACCAAATACTTATTTTCCACCATAATTTGCAAATAAATTCATTAAAAATCCTACAATGTGATTTTCTGGAATTTTTTTTCTCATTTTGTCTGTCAAAGTTGACGTGTACCTATGATGAAAATTACAGGCCTCTCTCATCTTTTTATGTGGGAGAACATGCACAATTGGTGGCTGACTAAATACTTTTTTCCCCCACTGTATATGTGTACTTGTTCTGCTGCTATCGGCTGAGGTTGTCTGGAGACCAGAGGCTGTAGAAGGTCCTGGACATCATAGGGTCTGAACCTGGTGACATCTTTCTCTTTCAGGAAGTCCTTCAGGATACGAGTGGCTCTGCCAAGCAGGTAGGAAGCAGAACCACTGCAGGAACGCCAAATAAGCCATAAAGATATTCACAAAAATGTCTATAAATCAAAGTTTTAATTAAATATCATATATAATAGCCAAAATGATGCTGCTCCTTACTGACCAGCAATTATTCGGCCTACCCTTTAATGTTTGGGTTCTGTGCACTGCCGTCCAGTTGGAATGGTTTATCATAGCACTGTCTGTAGAGCTGAGGAACCTCCATCATCCAGGATATCTGGACCGCCATCACCGGGTCTGACACTTTATCTACAACCAACATATTGGGGGGCCAATAAAGATTGTATGGACAAAAATGTCAGGTTTAATAAACTGTTTATAGTTGCGAAATGCACAAGTGTGTGTGTGTGTGTCCATATGCGCATGACTGTGCATGCCTGCGTCTGAGTGACCATATTCATATGCGTGTCACCTCTCCACTCACAGTAAGTAGAGGCCATTATCTCTCTCTGTTGTCTGGAGGTCTTGACGGGCCCTCTCACCCTGAGCAGTTCTCCTATCTCCAGGTGGGAGCTGCTGTGTTGGGCTTGCCGTAGTTTCTTCAGCTCATTGGCTGGGTTGAAGTCTCCACGAGCGCTGCTACCGAGAGACCTTGCTCCTGCTGAAGATGATACAGTCAACAATGAATATGAACAGGGCTGACACACACAGTTAGAATGAGAATACCTGTACTTACATTGATCCCTCCACTGTTTATCTTTCCAGCAAAGGCTGTTTATAACACCAGTACCATCATCAACTGTAAAGCAATTATAACACCCAACCATATTAGATTTACATGTACTCAATATTTGCATGTGAATAACAGTTTGATATGAAGAGGCTAAGTAGGAACATTTAAAATGATTAAATTGAGCTTCATCATTACCTCCATAACAGAAGAAGTCTTCTCTCTCTCGCTTGTACACCACAGTCCCAAGCACATCAACTTTGAATATCGGGTGAGAGTTGTAGAAGTATATCCCTAGGATAGGGGAAATGAAATGTGTTAGCTAGTAAAGTTTAATAAACATTCATTTCATTTCAGTCATTTAGCAGACGCTCTTATCCAGAGCGACTTACAGGAGCAATTAGGGTTAAGTGCCTTGCTCAAGGGCACATCGACAGATTTTTCACCTAGTCGGCTCGGGGATTAGAACCAGCGACCTTTCGGTTACTGGCACAACGCCTTTCTTTAATGTTGTCAAAACTGAAGTTAACAATACCTGGCACTTGACAGGACTCTCTCATCTGTAGGATGTCTTTGACATAGAGCCTGGTGAAAGCGTTGAACATTGGGTCCAGTCCCCACAGCATTGAAGGTGGTTCCTCCCATACACTATCCTCCTCTGGATCCTTCGCTTCGGGCTGCATACCATCATCGGCCACTCACCACACGCGACGAAAGACAACCAAAAGTGGCAAGCTAACCTACTTACGACAGCTTACTTATCTCTCCCTCGCTTGGTTAGTTTGTTTCGCATCATTTTCCCGGGAAATGCTTTGAGATTTGAGCAAATATTTGCACAGCTTCCGCAAAAGTCCAAGTTTCCGGTCACATGAATTTTCCACACGTAAATGTATATATAAAGAAATGAAAATAGAACAGATTAAATAAACCATGTATTTATGTAAACATATTTTAACCGTGAATGACGATTATTAATAGATGTACATGTGGTAAAGATAACAATGTTGAAAAGTTTGCGCCTGTATGTGCGAGTGCACGTCTCGCATGGGTATCTGGGACATGTCGTTTTAAGCAATAGAACGAGAGAAGAAAGAAACCCATCACTGTATCTGAGACTGGACTCTCTCTCATATTGATGCAATTATCAGAATTTAACATTTTCAATATTAGGGGAAATGTGCAATCATTTTTAATGAGGCTATATGGCTTTTCTTTCTCGTTTAATTTAACTTATGATTTACAAAATGTTGCAGGGCTGAACAATAGGCCTAGGCTAGAAATGCATTGAATAGGCTTCTACAAAATGTCATACTCTTTAAAAGTTTTCTTGAATTATGAATAATTTATAACACTAATCATGCTGGCCTCCAGTGCTGACGATGGAAGCAACGCGCTCTAGATGCTCTTTCCTCCACCGTCAATCAAGAGTGAAGCGAAAGAACTACAGTTGCGCGCTCATGAACGCGCATTTGACACCAAATCCGCTAGATTACTGGACCCCGTGCCTCGCCAAGGGAAAGAAGATTGTTTTACCATACCGACGGTGTTTTTATTCGCTATATATACATTCAAGAGACTTTGGGCGATCGAATATTCAAGTTCATGGATATAATTATTTGGAAGGGTTGTTTCTTTACCTTCTCTATCTGCTCTTTGGTTGAGGAAAGAGCCCTGCCGCATGCGTTGTCAGGCCAGTGTTGGTTGTTCTGAGTTAAGGAACAACAGCAGCTTCCCGTGCTTACTTTGCACTGTGGAAGTCTATTCTTTGGACGGAAATACAATGCCAGGAGACATCAATGTGAATATTGTTGTTGTAAGAATCAACAATAGCCCATGATGTGGACTGAACTTCATTTTGTTATGGGATAACGGTGATATCGTTGCCATAATAACGGGTTGATCAACAATGATTTGAGTTTAACAGTATTTGAAAGAATTCTGAATTGTTATAATACTGTAACATATTGAATATGCCACCTCAGGGTCTGCTTGACTCACAAGAACACACCAAGGGACCTAAGTAAACACAACAATTCAAGTCCTATGCAGTAGAATGCACTGATGATCTTCGTATTGCTGGATATTCATTCCTTCGTCAACTATCTATCTGAAGAAGGCAGGCTTGAAAATGGCATCCTTTTTCAATTTCCGTAAAATCTTTAAATTGGGTGCTGAGAAGAAGAAGAAACAGTATGAGCATGTCCACAGAGATGAGAACCCAGAGGAGATATGGGAGATCATTGGAGAACTGGGGGATGGAGCCTTTGGAAAAGTCTACAAGGTATGAAGGGTCCTTTTGGGTCATTGTAGATCTCTTCTGATTCATTGTAGCAATGATGATGACACGTTACAATTACAGTTTGGTACCATGTTTCAAGAATCATCAATCATGTCGTGTGTGTGTTCATCTCAGTCCACTCTCTGCTGTAACCAATTGGAGTAAAATAGCCTACATCCTGTTCCTTGGAATTCCTCACTTAGGCTATAACAGGATGTGTTACCCCTTACACTATGTTTAGGACTAAACCCAACATTGGATTAATGACTGCCATTCTTTTCATTTTGGTCAACATTGTCAACTACACTGCCTCCAGTCCACACACACGCACACACACACAGCTATTTCTTCCCTAACTCTGATTGTTAGTCCATTCACAGCAGCCCTTAACCATGTTAGATGAGTCCCTATAAATTGTGGCATTGTTTTCACCGAGCTCAATGCATGGGCAGAGCAAAAAGCATCATTTACATGAGTGACATTGAATTTGATCACCCATGAGTGGAAGGCCAATACCGGTAGCAGGGTGCTTTGTCGAAAACTATTCCAATTAGCGTGTTTGTTTTTTCTGTAGCCACAAGCCTATTTTTGGGTATGATATAATAGTATAATAATAGCTATCTGGATCCCTACCATGAATGTGCTCCGTTTTCAATTTATTTCTGATCTAATAATAGGACTGTGTGTGGTCAGTTATGGTTTCTAAATCTAACTATTACTTGTTGTAGAGAATCCATATGCCTTAGTCAGTTTAGTAACATATGCCATGTGAAGTTGCCTACTACTACAACCAAACCATAGGCTGCTCCAGCAGCAAAGCACAACAACATGTACTATAATACTACTCCTAAGAATAGTAAATGATTGACCTTTCTGGCATTACTAGGGATACAACAGGCCAATCGAAGCACATCTATGGGAAGTACATTTCAAAGTAAAATTCAAACATCCTGGGCTGAGAGTCATCTCTACGAAACCAACTATAACATGCTGCAATCTCATGATGAGTCATCCTATTGGAACCGGCCTCTAAACTCCCAATCGATTCATAGTGAAAGAGAAGTGTGTGTGTGTGTGTGTGTGCGTGTGTGCATGCTGAATATGGATCCATCCTGTGAATGTGATCATGTGTATTGTGATAATGCAGGATAATGCATTTAAAGCATTTAAATGGCAGACGTGACCTGAGGAACACACTCAGGTTAAGAGGAAGTGCCATATCCCATATCACTGCGGGCCGCATCCAGCACATCCTGCTATGAGACACAACCAAAACAAACAGCAGACAGTTCCACTTCAAATGGAATTGGAACTTATGCTGTGATGGTTTTCATCAATGATGTGACAAATACATTTGAAAAAAGTGTCAGTTGGCTGCTTTTAGCTTTTTGTGAACATCATGTGAAATCTGATATCAACTCTCTCTTGACTCCTATTATGAGAGCAACAACGGAACCCATTCTATTCTATCATTTCCATTGTCATGAAGCCCCCAAAATAACACTCTCACTCAACGTTGTATGTCTTCTGCGAATGTCAACAGAACTCGGTCTATTCCATTGTCAGAAGCTAGCATAATAACCCTCTCACTTCTTCCTGTTTGTCTCCTAGGCCCAGAACAAGCTGACAGGCATTCTGGCTGCAGCTAAAGTGATCGATACCAAGACGGAGGAGGAGCTGGAGGACTATATGGTAGAGATCGATATCCTGGCCTCCTGCGACCATCACAACATAGTGAAGCTGCTGGACGCCTTCTACTACGACAGCAAGCTATGGGTGAGTAGGGTTTGGGGTTCTCAGTGGAGGCTGTGCTTTGTTAGCAGTACTGCTGTAATAGTTTATTGATAATAGTAATAGCACAAACTCTGAAGGTCTATTGACCGAAACATTGGTTGTGAGATTAAATGGTTTATGGAGCATCAGCTAAGATCAGCAGTGTGCTGCAGTGTCTTCCTTTGTTGGGGCATCTTAACTAGGCTAATACGAGTTGTGAGGACTGACCTGTGTCATGGCTATCAGTACAATGGAATGTTTATCCTCCTCTCACACTACCTCGCTTATCGTCTTCCTTGGTCAAAGTTCAAACTAGCACAGATACTAGCAGCATTTATTATAGGTTATCACCCTATTTGAATATGGAAATTCATTTTTGTATTACAGTATATTATTATGTAGCCTTTTTCGTCTTCACAATATCCCTGAGTGATGTTTATTTCTGTCACCTCCCAAAATAACTAGAGTCCATCCCAAAAAAAACTAATTTTTATTCAACAAATAATACATTATATCAAATCTAAAAAGTCAGTGCTTCTAAGGTGTTACCTGATAGGTTACATACCCTAGCCTCCCAAGAGCTCCAAAGGAGAACACGAGACAAAAGCTCCCCCACTTTTTTCAAGCTGGGAAATAATTAATGGTATGACATGGTGGCGCCCTGTGTCTCCTTCCTTGCTGACATAGAAATATCCACATAGACATATATTAGTAATCCGACTCATCAAAAGCTGTGATGATGACCTGCAGTATTTGGTTACACTGCAGCTCTGTTGAGTGCTCGGCCCTTTCCTCTCCGTTGTCTGCCGAACAATGGCTTCTAGCCCAATGGAGGTTGTGTATTGATTATTATCTAGGCTTACATGGTAGCTGGTGTGTAAATAGAGAGAGCGATAGATTAGCACAGGAGCTCTTACTGTAGATGAAAGACTAGAGGTTCTAAAAGGTTGTGTAGAAGTTAAGTCTCTGGAGAATGCTTTATTTTGTATTCCTCATCTGATATGGCTCTAATAACAATGTGGTAACCACATTATGTTTTTTAAGGATTAAGGGTTAGATTAATGACAGTAGCAATTGTATGTTTCCTCAATTTCACTTAACTTCAGTCTCACATTGTGGACACCTAACTCTTTTATCATGCACGTACCCACTTTGCAAGTTATTGGATAGACTAGAGCTAGCCCTATATATAATGCAGAGTGGCTGCGGATCCCACTTTTCTGGACCCCTCTTCCCGGCAGCTAAACGTCCCGAAGCTTCTGCACATGTACAGGATTCTCTACTTTACGCACAGTCTCTGCTCTACTCGTAGAGAACAGGCTACTCTGGCGAACGGTGCTCGTTTAATAATGTTACTTCAAAGCTGAATCAATGTCTGCAAGATCACATAATGATAGTATTCTACATAACAGAACGCGCCACTAGGCAAAACATGTGCTTTGATTGAAACTAAACACATGTAGGCTATGCTACAGTTTGTGACCACCATCTGGTCTAACATGCGCTCACTGTACATAATTCAAAACAACACTGTAGGCTACCTCGAAACAACACTATATAACTCAAGAAGATCTAAAGGCATATCCCCATGAAACTGATTGAGATCAAATGGTTGGATGCAGATGCTTCATGGACGTTTCACCAGTAAAACTTGAAGAATGATCATTAGCGATTGACTGTGAGAAATGTGAATGGAGGGTGACCAAAACATTATTTGCGTAAAAGTAAAGGTAAAGAAACATGCGCAGAACATGATTCAGATCTTCAGCTCTGGGGAAAAGGGACGGAACTGTTACCTACGGATCCGCAGCCTCAGCCATTCTAATATGGTGCATACACAGCATGTTTCCTATCCTAACCACAATGTACTTGACCTTAAGACTGTTGGTTAGGCCTAATCATGGGTCAGATCATAGGCCTATATTTTCATATGTTGCATATCTTTGTCTCCCAAATCACACTTTTAACTGTTGGTTAGCAGCTGTGTGGCTAAGATCCTATTTCAGAGTTGTGTCCTCCCTCTCTCTCTACACCACATGAATGGCTCCTCAGAGGGCTGTGTGTGCTGGGAGAGGAAGTCATGGCGACAGCCCTGTAGTTCCTCTCTACCCGCCTGCCACTGTAAAGACCCACTGTTTGGCCTATTGTACATGCAGCTGGACTGAAATAACAGCTCGCCTACCAATGAAACAACACTACAAGGGCCTGTATGAATGACAAGACTGTTTCAAGGCTTAGGCTAGGCGGAGCATACTGTCTTATTTTAGAAGAGTTTTGTTGGGGAGGGTAAAATGGTCTTGAAAGGTTTTTATTGCATTTGATGTTTGATGTGGTTGTAATAAGGCCAAACTAAGAATTGGTTCTTTTTAGAAAGGTCACACGGGTCATTGTTGCCATAATTATGTTTGGCTCAAAAGGTGAACAGGTGAACTGCCCTCTAAATACTCGCCAAAAGGAGAATAGAGAGTACCAATAATTTCTCAATGACTGTGTTACATTGAGGAAGTGTGTTTTGTCTTCCTCTTCTTGGCACCAAATATGTCTTCCATTGTTTCAATGTCAGTAGCATTTCTCTATTCTACTCAGTCCTAACTAACTCAATATTTACTGTATTGAGCACAGTAGGGCCGTGGATAACTTGAGCTTGTTATTTTGTTTTTGTTAGCCTAATTGTTTCTCTGTTGTATCCCTAATGTTAGCAGCATGCTAGGCTAGGTTAGGCTATAGCCCTGATACAGTCCAAAGTCTATTGACATATCAGGACTATGCTAGTCTAACGATACTACCTCCCTGCACTGAATGGCTAGGTGTCTCTCTCCTCCAAATACCTAGCCTTACAGCTGCTGCAGCTAAAGCTAGCTCCCTCCCTCCTGAGGCGTGTATGGAAACTCCTAATCCTATTTGGGGAAAGGGCTACGTTCTAGCTAGCTACGCTAGGCTAGGCTACATGTGTATACCATGAGAAAGCCTTCAGAGCAGAGCAAAGCAACAGAATGGCTCCTCTCCGGCCAATCCTCTTACCTCAGCGGCGCAAGGCGGCCATATTGAGAGCTCCTTAAAACCATTTAGGGCTCAGCAGGTTTCATTCACTGAACCTGGGCAGGAGGAGGTTCACTGTTAAACTCACTCTGAAATTGTTATACACAGCAGGGCCTGTATTCACAAAATGTCTCAGTATGAGTTCTCATCTAGGATCAGGTCCTCTCTAATGTCCATATAATCAAATTCATTATGATCTAAAAGGGAAAACTGATCCTAGATTAGAACTCCTACTCTGAGACACTTTGAGAATACGGCCACAGGCCGGGGAGTTTGGTCTTTAAAAAGAAGGAGACTTTTAAAGTTTTGTTTGGGTATGAAGCAGGGGACGGGGGGGACGGGACGGGGGGGCTTTTAAGTATGGAGGGTGGAAGGTTGCTGGTCCATAGTGTAACGACTTAGGCCTGATTGATGGATTGGATAGGTAGAGTTAAGTGTGTTGCGTCTTGTTGTCATTGAACTTGATACCCTTTAAGCCCCTCTCTGCATTGGATTGTAAGGCTACTGGATCCAGACAGGACTCCATTGACAACGACCACATGACACAGTTACATGTTGGCCTATAGTACGATGGAAATGGGGCTTACTTTGTATAGTTGTAAACACTCAAAAGTACTATTGTTTGTTGTAAATGTATGGTATGTTTACCTGTTATGGTATTTTTACCACATTAGATGAATGCTGTGAGTTTTCTTTAATCCACTGTAATGGATCTAATGTAACCATTCTTCTCTTTTTTTGTAGATCCTGATAGAGTTCTGTGCAGGTGGAGCGGTGGATGCCGTCATGCTGGGTGAGTCAGCCTTCCTACATCCTACTTCTAAATAATATGATAAGCAGATGAGTGATAAATCATTTGTAACAATGGTAAATGTATTTCAATGTATTATGTGACTGAAATGTGAGAGATATAACAGTATAGCAACAGTTAACTGATATTGAACTACCAGTGATCAGTACCAACAAGATGTAGACCAACCACATACTACATTGATAAGGTATCAGCATTAACATTCTTCATTGATACAGCCGTAAGCCAGCTCAGTCCTTTTACTACTGTTAGTCCTATTACTGTGTGAAAGGACTGAGGGAGTGTGTGTGCGTGTGTTTACCCTGTGTGTGTGTACCCTGTGTGTGACCGCATGAGTGAAACCCAGTGTGAGTGAAACCCAGTGTGTGAGAAGGAATGCTAAGTATGTGTTTCTGTGGCCCCGGCCCCTCAGAGCTAGAGAGGCCCCTGACGGAGCCCCAGATCCGGGTGGTGTGTAAGCAGACCCTCCAGGCCCTCCTCTACCTCCATGACAACAAGGTGATCCACAGAGACCTGAAGGCTGGGAACATCCTGCTATCCCTGAACGGAGACGTCAAACTGGGTAAGAGACTGGGGAATAGGGACTGGGAGTTTCCTAACCCAGTGTTTCCCAAACCTCTCCTCGGGGAACCCCAGCCATTCCATGTATTAGAACTATTCCACAGCTAGCACACCTGATTCAACTTGTCAACAATCAAACCCTTGGATAGGTGTATCAGGTGATGTAGTTCAGGGCTACAACAAAATTGTGAAACGTCCAGGGGTCCCCGAGGAGAGGTTTGAAAACCACTGTCCTAACCAACTATCCGTGCTTAACATTTACGTTTGGTCCTTTAGTAGAAGACACTCTTACAGTCAATGCACACCACTAAGGTAGAATGCACTACCATACACTCTTAGAAAAAGGGTTCTTCGGCTGTCGCTCCACCATTTCCTGGTTGCTAAAATTGTAATAGTTCGCCTAATTTCAGTTTGTGACAAAACAAGCAATGTGTAGAGAATCATTGTACCATCTAAACCGCTGTGAAATATATTTTCTTGTTATTTGTAAATCAGGTTCCCTTTATCTAATATTAGGTTTTGGTTGAAGATTTGATAACATTCAGTATAACAAATATGCAAAAGTAGAAACAATTTGAAAGGGGGCAAAGACTTTTTCACAGCACTGTATTTTCAGCTGTTTGAAGTTGGTGTACAAAACCGAAAGAAAAATAACACAAAAACAAAAGCATAGAAATAGCACACATAGAACAGATCAAATCAAATCAAATCAAATTGTATTGGTCACATGCGCCGAATACAACAGGTGCAGACATTACAGTGAAATGCTTACTTATAGCCCTTAACCAACAGTGCATTTATTTTAAACAAAAAAAGTAAGAATAAAACAACAACAAAAAAAGTGTTGAGAAAAAAAAGAGCAGAAGTAAAATAAAGTGACAATAGGGAGGCTATATATACAGGGGGGTACCGTTGCAGAGTCAATGTGCGGGGGCACCGGCTAGTTGAGGTAGTTGAGGTAATATGTACATGTGGGTAGAGTTAAAGTGACTATGCATAAATACTTAACAGAGTAGCAGCAGCGTAAAAAGGATGGGGTGGGGGGGCAGTGCAAATAATCCGGGTAGCCATGATTAGCTGTTCGGGAGTCTTATGGCTTGGGGGTAGAAGCTGTTGAGAAGTCTTTTGGACCTAGACTTGGCACTCCGGTACCGCTTGCCGTGCGGTAGCAGAGAGAACAGTCTATGACTAGGGTGGCTGGAGTCTTTGACAATTTTGAGGGCCTTCCTCTGACACCGCCTGGTATAGAGGTCCTGGATGGCAGGAAGCTTTGCCCCAGTGATGTACTGGGCCGTACGCACTACCCTCTGTAGTGCCTTGCGGTCGGAGGCCAAGCAGTTGCCATACCAGGCGGTGATGCAACCAGTCAGGATGCTCTCGATGGTGCAGCTGTAGAATTTTTTGAGGATCTGAGGACCCATGCCAAATCTTTTTAGTCTCCTGAGGGGGAATAGGCTTTGTCGTGCCCTCTTCACGACTGTCTTGGTGTGTTTGGACCATGATAGTTCGTTGGTGATGTGGACAAGCTCTCAACCTGTTCCACTACAGCCCCGTCGATGAGAATGGGGACGTGCTCAGTCCTCTTTTTTTTCCCTGTAGTCCACAATCATCTCCTTTGTCTTGGTCACGTTGAGGGAGAGGTTGTGTTCCTGGCACCACACGGCCAGATCTCTGACCTCCTCCCTATAGGCTGTCTCATCGTTGTCAGTGATCAGGCCTACCACCGTTGTGTCGTCGGCAAACTTAATGATGGTGTTGGAGTCGTGCCTGGCCATGCAGTCATGGGTGAACAGAGAGTACAGGAGGGGACTGAGCACGCACCCCTGAGGGGCCCCCTTGTTGAGGATCAGTGTGGCAGATGTGTTGTTACCTACCCTTACCACCGGGGGGCGGCCCGTCAGGAAGTCCAGGATCCAGTTGCAGAGGGAGGTGTTTAGTCCCAGGATCCTTAGCTTAGTGATGAGCTTAGAGGGCACTATGGTGTTGAATGCTGAGCTGTAGTCAATGAATAGCATTCTCACGTAGGTGTTCCTCTTGTCCAGGTGGGAAAGGGCAGTGTGGAGTGCGATAGAGATTGCATCATCTGTGGATCTGTTGGGGCGGTATGCAAATTGGAGTGGGTCTAGGGTTTCTGGGATAATGCTGTTGATGTGAGCCATGACCAGCCTTTCAAAGCACTTCATGGCTACAGACGTCAGTGCTACGGGTCGGTAGTCATTTAGGCAGGTTATCTTAGAGTCCTTGGGCACGGGGACTATGGTGGTCTGCTTGAAACATGTTGGTATTACAGACTCAGTCAGGGACATGTTGAAAATGTCAGTGAAGACACTTGCCAGTTGGTCAGCACATGCTCGGAGTACACGTCCTGGTAATCCGTCTGGCCCTGCGGCCTTGTGAATGTTGACCTGCTTAAAAGTCTTACTCACATCGGCTACGGAGAGCGTGATCACATAGTCATCCGGAACAGCTGGTGCTCTCATGCATGCTTCAGTGTTGCTTGCCTCGAAGCGAGCATAGAAGTGGTTTAGCTCGTCTGGTAGGCTTGTGTCACTGGGCAGCTCGCGGCTGTGCTTCCCTTTGTAGTCTGTAATAGTTTTCAAGCCCTGCCACATCCGACGAGCGTCAGAGCCAGTGTAGTATGATTCAATCTTAGACCTGTATTGACTCTTTGCCTGTTTGATGGTTCGTCGGAGGTCATAGCGGGATTTCTTATAAGCGTCCGGGTTAGAGTCCCGTTCCTTGAAAGCGGCAGCTCTACCCTTTAGCTCAGTGCGGATGTTTCCTGTAATCCATGGCTTCTGGTTGGGGTATGTACGTACGGTCACTGTGGGGACGACATCATCGATGCACTTATTGATGAAGCCAGTGACTGATGTGGTGTACTCCTCAATGCTGTCTGAAGAATCCCGGAACATGTTCCAGTCTGTGCTACAAAACAGTCCTGTAGCTTAGCATCTGCGTCATCTGACCACTTTTTTATTACCGAGTCACTGGTGCTTTCCTGCTTTAGTTTTGTGCTTAAAGCATGAATCAGGAGGATAGAGTTATGGTCAGATGTGCCCAAATGGAGGCGAGGGAGAGCTTTGGTAAGGCGCTCTGTGTGTTGGAGTAAAGGTGGTCTAAGGTTTTTCCTGTTGCACATTAAAACATGCTGACAAAAGCATAGAAATAGCACAACATAGAACAGATCAAATCAAATCAAATCAAATTGTATTGGTCACATGCGCCGAATACAACAGGTGCAGACATTACAGTGAAATGCTTACTTACAGCCCTTAACCAACAGTGCATTTATTTTAACAAAAAAAGTAAGAATAAAACAACAACAAAAAAAGTGTTGAGAAAAAAAAGAGCAGAAGTAAAATAAAGTGACAGTAGGGAGGCTATATATACAGGGGGGGTACCGTTGCAGAGTCAATGTGCGGGGGCACCGGCTAGTTGAGGTAGTTGAGGTAATATGTACATGTGGGTAGAGTTAAAGTGACTATGCATAAATACTTAACAGAGTAGCAGCAGCGTAAAAAGGATGGGGTGGGGGGGGCAGTGCAAATAGTCCGGGTAGCCATGATTAGCTGTTCGGGAGTCTTATGGCTTGGGGGTAGAAGCTGTTGAGAAGTCTTTTGGACCTAGACTTGGCACTCCGGTACCGCTTGCCGTGCGGTAGCAGAGAGAACAGTCTATGACTAGGGTGGCTGGAGTCTTTGACAATTTTGAGGGCCTTCCTCTGACACCGCCTGGTATAGAGGTCCTGGATGGCAGGAAGCTTTGCCCCAGTGATGTACTGGGCCGTACGCACTACCCTCTGTAGTGCCTTGCGGTCGGAGGCCAAGCAGTTGCCATACCAGGCGGTGATGCAACCAGTCAGGATGCTCTCGATGGTGCAGCTGTATAATTTTTGAGGATCTGAGGACCCATGCCAAATCTTTTTAGTCTCCTGAGGGGGAATAGGCTTTGTCGTGCCCTCTTCACGACTGTCTTGGTGTGTTTGGACCATGATAGTTCGTTGGTGATGTGGACACCAAGGAACTTGAAGCTCTCAACCTGTTCCACTACAGCCCCGTCGATGAGAATGGGGGCGTGCTCAGTCCTCTTTTTTTTCCTGTAGTCCACAATCATCTCCTTTGTCTTGGTCACGTTGAGGGAGAGGTTGTTGTCCTGGCACCACACGGCCAGATCTCTGACCTCCTCCCTATAGGCTGTCTCATCGTTGTCGGTGATCAGGCCTACCACTGTTGTGTCGTCGGCAAACTTAATGATGGTGTTGGAGTCGTGCCTGGCCATGCAGTCATGGGTGAACAGAGAGTACAGGAGGGGACTGAGCACGCACCCCTGAGGGGCCCCCGTGTTGAGGTTCAGTGTGGCAGATGTGTTGTTACCTACCCTTACCACCTGGGGGCGGCCCGTCAGGAAGTCCAGGATCCAGTTGCAGAGGGAGGTGTTTAGTCCCAGGATCCTTAGCTTAGTGATGAGCTTAGAGGGCACTATGGTGTTGAATGCTGAGCTGTAGTCAATGAATATCATTCTCACGTAGGTGTTCCTCTTGTCCAGGTGGGAAAGGGCAGTGTGGAGTGCGATAGAGATTGCATCATCTGTGGATCTGTTGGGGCGGTATGCAAATTGGAGTGGGTCTAGGGTTTCTGGGATAATGCTGTTGATGTGAGCCATGACCAGCCTTTCAAAGCACTTCATGGCTACAGACGTCAGTGCTACGGGTCGGTAGTCATTTAGGCAGGTTATCTTAGAGTCCTTGGGCACGGGGACTATGGTGGTCTGCTTGAAACATGTTGGTATTACAGACTCAGTCAGGGACATGTTGAAAATGTCAGTGAAGACACTTGCCAGTTGGTCAGCACATGCTCGGAGTACACGTCCTGGTAATCCGTCTGGCCCTGCGGCCTTGTGAATGTTGACCTGCTTAAAAGTCTTACTCACATCGGCTACGGAGAGCGTGATCACATAGTCATCCGGAACAGCTGGTGCTCTCATGCATGCTTCAGTGTTGCTTGCCTCGAAGCGAGCATAGAAGTGGTTTAGCTCGTCTGGTAGGCTTGTGTCACTGGGCAGCTCGCGGCTGTGCTTCCCTTTGTAGTCTGTAATAGTTTTCAAGCCCTGCCACATCCGACGAGCGTCAGAGCCAGTGTAGTATGATTCAATCTTAGACCTGTATTGACTCTTTGCCTGTTTGATGGTTCGTCGGAGGTCATAGCGGGATTTCTTATAAGCGTCCGGGTTAGAGTCCCGTTCCTTGAAAGCGGCAGCTCTACCCTTTAGCTCAGTGCGGATGTTTCCTGTAATCCATGGCTTCTGGTTGGGGTATGTACGTACGGTCACTGTGGGGACGACATCATCGATGCACTTATTGATGAAGCCAGTGACTGATGTGGTGTACTCCTCAATGCTGTCTGAAGAATCCCGGAACATGTTCCAGTCTGTGCTAGCAAAACAGTCCTGTAGCTTAGCATCTGCGTCATCTGACCACTTTTTTATTAACCGAGTCACTGGTGCTTCCTGCTTTAGTTTTTGCTTATAAGCAGGAATCAGGAGGATAGAGTTATGGTCAGATTTGCCAAATGGAGGGCGAGGGAGAGCTTTGTATGCGTCTCTGTGTGTGGAGTAAAGGTGGTCTAGAGTTTTTTTCCCTCTGGTTGCACATTTAACATGCTGGTAGAAATTAGGTAGAACGGATTTAAGTTTCCCTGCATTAAAGTCCCCGGCCACTAGGAGCGCTGCATCTGGATGAGCGTTTTCCTGTTGATTAATGGCCTTGTACAACTCATTCAGTGCAATCTTAATGCCAGCATTGGTTTGTGGTGGTAAATAGACAGCTATGAAAAATAGAGATGAAAACTCTCTTGGTAAATAGTGTGGTCTACAGCTCTACCTCAGGCGAGCAAAACCTCGAGACTTCCTTAGTATTGCTTTTCAATGCTTCTTAGACTTGCTTTCAATGAGAACGACAGATTTATAACTCACATTTCTATGTTAATTTGGTTGGTTCACCTAAAAAGTTACATATTGCAGCTTTAATAGAGCCAGGGGGAGGTCTTTGGATAGACTATGCAAGCTTGGATGTTAGAGACATCTGTTGGTCCATTTAGTCAAAATAAACACATTTTATCATCGTTATGAAACACCAAATATGTTTGGCGCAGATGTGGAAGAAATAAAAGAGGAATAAGGTGGTATTTGTTTGTTAGGTTTATCATAACATAACACAATATACAGACAGAAATGTTCAATGATGTTATATTGTAGCCGTCATCTACGAATCAGTTATGTCACTCAGTTATGGCAACACTAACTGCCTTCAAATCGATTGTGTATTTGGAAAGCCTGGATGTCATCATTGTTCAGTCCTATTGGTACCCAGTGAGTGGTGCTCCACACAGTAAGCTCCAGGCTCATCATGCAGTAGGTTGTGGATTAGGATGAGTCATAACTTTGTGCATGTAACAGGCTAGGGTTTGTATCAGTACAGTGACATAACAAAGGTGGCTGTGAAAGTGCCTGTTTGCATGTCAGTGACAGGCAGTGAGAGCCTTTGTGTGAAAGATTAATCACACACAAATACACGTGCACACACACACACTCTGTTATAAACAACACATGATGTCATCGTCCAGATGCACGCATTACGTAAACATATGTTTTGTTGTTGCATGTTGTTCGTGTCGCTAACATGATTACTGTTATGGTTTTTAATAAGCCTGGATTTGTCGGAAGACCTATATGTATTTCAGAAACAATTGTCTAACTTGTGGGACAACATGTATAGATAGGCTTAGGCTTAGGCCGGGGGTCTTCAACATTGTCTTGCCCAGGGACCCCCTCCCAGGAAAACCAGCGACCCAGGGACCCCTATCATACGTTAGCAAAAAAAAAAAAGTAATGTCTTGTCTTATCATCAGGTGAATGATACTGACAAGGAGAAGTAATTAGCATGTTTAAATGTATTGATTTGGTAGATCGTTTTTCATTATTTTGACTTCCGCACATCATAATCAAAGATACTGGTATCTAACCCAAGATACACCACCGGTGTCGTTTCCAATGGGAGCAAATGAAGCGTAGTGGGCAGAACAAGCAAGAAGGTGGGCAGAGCCAAGCACCAGCTAGCGCAATCCTATTGGTGCATTCTAGCATGTATTTGCATATTTCTGTTAGGGAACGCCTAGTCTGTGAAGTGCGCGTGTGTAATAACTACATTCGCCCTTGCACTCCTAAACAATGCAATTTTTTAAAACTTAGAAAGGGTCAAGTCTACAAAACTTAGTGCACTCTGTTCAAAACAAATATTATAGTTTTGGGAAGGGAACTGTATTGTTTAATCAATTAAGAAATTAGCAGAATTTCGGCCAAGTTTCATCTAGCTTCATCTTCTCCCACTTCCCGCCACTGGACTTCCTCTCTTCATCATATTTGGTGGTAGTTTTAAACGGATGCTTCAGATTTATACATCCGGTGTGACATCTGTGTTTATAATTGGAAGAGGAAGTGTAAACTCTAACATCATTTTTTGTTTATTAATTCGGCCATATTAAAAAACAAGCACACATAAAACTTGAAAAAGCCATACATGCACTTGAGTAAAATCATTGAGGATAACACACAAAAAAGTCTGGGACTTATTTCCATTGTGGTCCTAAACATAGCCTATTAGCTAGAATGGTAACGCAAAACACATTTCCGCTAAGAGCAGCAGTTTATTTGGTTAAACAAAGGTTAGCCATGTGTTGGCAAAAATGTATGTCCAAGTCAAGAAAGCTTACCAGCAGCCAGCGGCAATTGCCGCACTGGTAGCCTATTCGCAGATGCTTTTTCAAAGCCTATGTCAGATACTCCAGTGAGTGTAATTAGCTCCAATGAGTGTAATTGGCTCAATATTAGGAGTTGAGAAATAAAGTTGACATCATTAGAAGATAATATCCTCTTTTCTACTGTAGGAATGTAATTTACAATGTGTTTATTATGTTGTTGCTAACGATACACATAAAAACATTTTTAATAATAATAACTTTAAAAAAAAAAAAATGCGGACCCCCTGCAGTACCTCTAGGGAGCCGCGGACCCCTGGGTGAATACCCCTGGCTTAGGCTATTTGTTATGAACAACAAAACATGTTGTACCCTAGTCGCTAATAGCAGCACTATTTCCCATCTGTGTTTCAGCTGACTTTGGTGTGTCAGCCAAAAACACCAAAACACTACAGAGGAGAGACTCTTTCATCGGGACGCCATACTGGTGAGTCAAACATATAAACCTGTCATATTGTTGTATTTCATCAAATTACTATTTCTCCCCATTCTTCTGAAATGGGCAGTCATCATGGTTGACTTTTTAATATATTCAAAACATTTTTATTTACTTGCATTTCAATTTATAGAAACCCTAATGTATAGCCTACAAAATGCCAATATTACCATACAAAAATACTACAATTCCACACTTCCACACAATTCGTTTCATAGTCATTCATATTTAACCGAATATATTTTGTCCCTTTCATTGGTCATTCATATTTCACTGAAACATCTCCTTTCCTCTGATTGGTCGTTTTTTATCTGTTCTTCCCAGGATGGCCCCGGAGGTGGTGATGTGTGAGACATTTAAGGACCGGCCGTACGACTACAAGGCTGACATCTGGTCCCTGGGGGTGACTCTGATCGAGCTGGCCCAGATCGAGCCTCCCAACCACGAGATGAACCCTATGAGAGTCCTGCTGAAAATAGCCAAGGCTGATCCTCCTACCCTGATGCAGCCGTCACGCTGGTAAGTCTGGCGTGTCAGTCAGTGATGTGGCAGCCTGGCAAACAAGGTATTTCTGTCTATGTTTGGCCTCAGGAAGAAATGACCTTTTGATACACTGTCACTTTGCACAATGCTCCTTTTCTTGCATAGAGAGATTGTATCACTCTTATTCACTCCTCTCTGCACCTGTTGAGATGGTTCTACCTATTCTAATTTACCTCAATGCCTTTGAGAGGAATACATGACACTGTTGAATTGTAGCCCATTTTCAATGTTGTAGTTATTACAAATGATCTCCATTCACTCTCTTCAGGTCTCCAGAGTTCAGTGATTTCCTAAGAAAGTGTCTGGATAAGAATGTGGACAACAGATGGAATGTGGCACAACTTCTACAGGTAATGGTGACACCCCTTTTGCCCTCACTTTCCCCTTTGTTCCCTCACCCCACCTCCTCTTCTCCTCACCCCCACCTCCTCTTCTCCTCACCCCACCTCCCCTTCTCCTCACCCCACCTCCTCTTCTCCTCACCCCACCTCCCCTTCTCCTCACCCCACCTCCTCTTCTCCTCACCCCACCTCCTCTTCTCCTCACCCCACCTCCTCTTCTCCTCACCCCACCTCCTCTTCTCCACTCACCTAACAACACCCCCTCCTGTTTTTCCCCTCGCCCCTCCGCCCCCTAGCACAGCACTCCACCCCACGGCCACCTGTCAAATTAAATACATGGCCATATTGTCCCCTGATCATGATCCGATAGCTGCTCATCCGGTACATCTAAGGTACATCTGTGTCAACCAGGTACCTGGTGTGCTAGCTAGCGAGCTAACGACACTTACTTATCCCCTCTGCGCCTCCGTCAGCACAACAGGCTTTTCTTTCCGAAAGGGTTTAAGGAGCGACCGCCAAGCTAGACAGAATGACTTCCAGACAGACAGTAAGAAGATAAGGCGTACGGAGGACATAAACACACATGAGCTCAGTGTGGGACAGTACAACAGGAGTATGGTTGGGATCTTTTAGCAAAAGGCCAAATGGCCGTGAACATACAGAACAGTAGTCTACCACCGATGAAGGTGTTGATAGCGTTGAAGCTGCATATTCTTAGGCCGGCGATTGATTATGTTCAGCAGGTGTCCTGGCAAAAGGTAAGACTTTGGTTTTGGTGTTTGAAAGAGGGATGCATTATGACTGCAGGACCTTACAGTAGGGAAGACAGTGTGCTTTGTGTATCAATCAGATTGTTTTGAGTTGTTATGAAGATTGTACTTCCAATTTTTTACTAAATAGACACTGAGTGTACAAAACATTTGGAACACTTTCCTAATATTGAGTTGCACCCCCTTTTGCCCTCAGAACAGCCTAAATTCATCGGGGCATGGACTACAAGGTGTCGAAAGCGTTCCACAGGGATGCTGGCCCATGTTGACTCCAATGCTTCCTACAGTTGTGTCAAGTTGGCTGGATTTCCTTTGAGTGGTAGACCATTCTTCATACATACTGGAAACTGTTGAGCGTGAAAAACCCAGCAGCGTTGCAGTTCTTGACACACTCAAACTGGTGCGCCTGACAGCTACTACCATACCCTGTTCAAACGCTTTTGCCCATTCACCCTCTGAATGGCACACATAAACAATCCACATCTCAAAAATCCTTCTTTAATCGGTCACCTCCCCTTCATTGACACTGATTTAAGTGGATTTAACCGGTGACATCACTAAGGGATCATAGCTTTCACCTGGATTCACCTGGTCAGTCTATGTCATGTTTTGTACACTGTGTATTTTTCTTAATTTATTTTTTCTTGATTTGTGTGATTTGTCCAAATTTTGACTGCAATGTTGAAATCGCGCAAATATTGATGTTCTCTTTTCAGATGCAGTGTAAGTAGTGCACTTCAAGGGGACATACAGTGGCTTGCGAAAGTATTCACCCCCCTTGGCATTTTTCCTATTTTGTTGCCTTACAACCTGGAATTAAAATTGATTTTTTGGGGGGTTTGTATCATTTGATTTACACAACATGCCTACCACTTTGAAGATGCCAAATATATTTTTTGTGAAACAAATAAGAAATAAGACAAAAAAACAGAAAACTTAAGCGTGCATAACTATTCACCCCCCCCCCCAGAGTCAATACTTTGTAGAGCCACCTTTTGCAGCAATTACAGCTGCAAGTCTCTTGGGTTATGCCTCTATAAGCTTGGCACATCTAGCCGCTGGGATTTTTGCCCATTCTTCAAGGCAAAACTGCTCCAGCTCCTTCAAGTTGGATGGGTTTCGCTGGTGTACAGCAATCTTTAAGTCATACCACAAATTCTCAATTGGATTGAGGTCTGGGCTTTGACTAGGCCATTCCAAGACATGTAAATGTTTCCCCTTAAACCACTCAAGTGTTGCTTTAGCAGTATGCTTAGGGTCATTGTCCTGCTGGAAGGTGAACCTCCGTCCCAGTCTCAAATCTCTGGAAGACTGAAACAGGTTTCCCTCAAGAATTTCCCTGTATTTAGCGCCATCCATCATTGCTTCAATTCTGACCAGTTTCCCAGTCCCTGCCGATGAAAAACATCCCTACAGCATGATGCTGCCACCACCATGCATCACTGTGGGGATGGTGTTCTCGGGGTGATGAGAGGTGTTGGGTTTGCACCAGACATAGCGTTTTCCTTGATGGCCAAAAAGCTCAATTTTAGCATCATCTGACCAGAGTACCTTCTTCCATATGTTTGGGGAGTCTCCCACATGCATTTTGGCGAACACCAAAAGTGTTTGCTTATTTTTTTGCTTTAAGCAATGGCTTTTTTCTACCCACTCTTCCGTAAAGCCCAGCTCTGTGGAGTGTACGGCTTAAAGTGGTCCTATGGACAGATACTCCAATCTCCACTGTGGAGCTTTGCAGCTCCTTCAGGGTTATCTTTGGTCTCTTTGTTGCCTCTGATTAATGCCCTCCTTGCCTGGTCCGTGAGTTTTGGTGGGCGGCCCTCTCTTGGCAGGTTTGTTGTGCCATATTCTTTCAATTTCTAATAATGGATTTAATGGTGCTCTGTGGGATGTTCAAAGTTTCTGATATTTTTTTATAACCCAACCCTGATCTGTACTTCTCCACAACTTTGTCCCTGACCTGTTTGGAGAGCTCCTTGGTCTTCATGGTGCCGCTTGCTTAGTGGTGTTGCAGACTCTGGGGCCTTTCAGAACAGGTGTATATATACTGAGATCATGTGACAGATCATGTGACACTTAGATTGCGCACAGGTGGACTTTATTTAACTAATTATGTGACTTCTGAAGGTAATTGGTTGCACCAGATCTTATTTAGGGGCTTCATAGCAAAGGGGGTGAATACATATGCACGCACCACTTTTCTGTTATTTATTTGTTAGAATCTTTTTAAACAAGTTGTTTTTTTCATTCCACTTCAACAATTTGGACTATTTTGTGTATGTCCTTTACATGAAATCCAAATAAAAATCTATTTAAATTACAGGTTGTAATGCAACAAAATAGGAAAAACGCCAAGGGGGATGAATACTTTTGCAAGGCACTGTAATAGTCTTTATATCTAAAAGTGTCCTCAATATTGTATATATTTTTTCTATCGTTGCAGCATCCATTTTTGAGTACTGTGACAGACAGCAGACCGTTGAGGGAGCTGATTGCTGAAGCAAAGGCTGAGGTTTATGAGGAGATTGAGGAACACAAGGAGGAAGAGGAGGAGGAGGAAGGAGAGACTCAACGGGTATGTTACACCACAGACTGCTCAGTTAGAAAAATAACCACATGAAAGAGTGTGAAATGCTATAGATGGACAGTGTGTATTCTTTATCATTTATTATAAAGAACAGGCTACAGGCTGTACTGATTTGACAAAAATAAGGAAAGTTATTGACTATTGGTTAGAAGGATATATTTAGAATCATTCCCACAGTTCTATTATTTGAATGATAATCTAGGCATTATTTGTTGATTATTTTAACCTACATTTAGATTTTTATCACTTCTTCTTCAGGGTCACAAACGTGCACTGTCCGATGCCAGCGTTGCCAGCTCGGAGGATGAGAAATTCCCTCAGTCTCCCTCAGCTTCCATCTTGGAGTCTTTACCGGAGAAGGCTGAACCGGTTATCCCAACACCACAGATAGTTGAAAAGATCCCTGAACCAAGTGTCGTCAAGCCAGAGGAGAACCATGTTGTGGACACTAGCTTCGTTGAGGAGCCCACTGCCCCTGCAGAAGTAGAGAAAATGGATGAGACCCTTAATGTTTCAATAAATGGAGAGACAACAGAAACCAGTGAGAAACTAGTGGAGGTGAAGGAAGAGGAGGAGAATGTTCCAGAAATATCAGAGGTTACCCCAACAGAACCCAGTGAGATAGCTTCTTCAGAACCAGCTCAGAAACCAGCAGAGCCCCACCCAGAAGGAACCATTTCCAATGCTGAAGTCACCACAGTAGACAAGGAGATGGAACAACTGGCCATATCCAATCAGGATGAAAAGGAAGTGGACACAGCCGAGGTCCAGACGATTGAGGTCACCGCAGAGGCCAAGGACGAGCCAACGGAAGACAAGATGGAAGTTGAGGAGGAACCAGCTAACGAGGAGCCTAGCAGGGAAGCAAAGGTTACCGTGACAACCCCAGAGGAGACTCCTGCATCTCCGGCAGTCCAGAAAGAGGAGGAAGGAAAGAGAGTGGTGTATAAGCCAACTGCGGAGGAGACAGGGACTCCAGTGAAGTCTAAGGATGAGAAGGAGAGGGATTCGGACTCTGGGAGTAGTTCTGCTGCAGATAACGGCAGCATAGACATGAACCTCTCCATCTCCAGCTTCCTGACCAAAACCAAGGAGCCAGGAACCCTCTCCATACAGGTACGGCATCACAATATACTCTCTTTAGAGAATGTCTTTGATCAAATCCATTGGTAATAACTAAGTCATCCAGTAATAACCCTCATGAATACGCCATTCTAAATGCTTCATACATTATTCTAGGTGTTATAAATGCTTATGAATTGTAATGTTTATAATGACTGCTTTATCCCATAAAGTAGTCAAACTATGGTATGTTGATGGTATATTTATTGCCACCATTTTGTTTTTCAGGAAACCAAGCGCCAGAAGAAGACACTGAAGAAGACCCGTAGGTTCATGGTGGATGGAGTCGAGGTTAGCGTGACGACGTCGAAGATCATCACCGATAATGACACCAAGAATGAGGAGATGAGGTTCCTCAGGTAAAGATTCATTTACATTAATTTGCATTTTGAGCATTATGCATTGAAAATATGCCAGTACTATGCAAGGATATAATCCATCTCTCCTGCAGTATAAGCTCAAGCTTAGGATCTAACTGAACTGAATGAACTAGCGAATGTAGCTATTTTAGTACACTGAGTGATTAGTACACTGACTGATTAGTAACAACTTCCTAGTATTGAGTTGCACCCCCTTTTGCCCTCAGTTCATTTGCATATCAAAGTGCTACTCAGTTGCATGCACAGAGATATCTTGTTATATAACGTTCTCATTGTTCTCTTGAGAGACTCTTCCTTCTGCATTGCTTTGGGTTGGTTAATCTCCTTTTGGGGAAAAATATGTTCCTCTCTCATAGTTTTTTCCTCCTCCTCTCTCAGGCGTCAGGAGCTGAGGGAGCTACGTTTCCTGCAAAAGGAGGAACAGAGGGCCCAGCAGCAGCTCAGCAATAAACTGCAGCAGCAGAAAGAACAGATATGCCGCCGCTTCGAACAGGAGACGACCGTGAGTCACTGTCCATTTTGTCAAAGCCTCAATGGGAGGTGCTTTGAGACCTATTGAAAGGTGTCATGTATTACTGTAATTCCATGTAGTGCTATAGTACTTTAATTGCCTATTCGTGACCCAGGTCCCAGTTATACTGTGTCCAACCTAGCACAGTGACAGCTGATTGCCTACTGGTGTGGTCACAACCAATCCTGAAGGAGCATGCTAAACCACACATGACTTTGAAACAGTAAGCTGAATGAACCCAGTAAGACCAGTTAGTCCCTGTCCAGTATTGCAGAGGTGTGCCCCGTCCACACCACACCACAGCTTCCATGTGCCTTTTGCTCCTTTTACGTCATGACTTATTTCTGGACTAGGTCAATCCTTCTGTATGTCAGTTAAACTGAACTGAATCCACTAGCCAGCCAGTAAATCCATGGCAGACGGGATGCCACTGAAATGCCATTGCTTTCTGTAATATTCCAATCATTCAATGATGACCAGTGTTTGGATACTAGTTCTAGTGAAAGTGACGAACTGACACCGAATCAAAATGACATTCTACAGAGTAAGAAGCGCCAGTACGACCAGGAAGTGGAGAACCTGGAGAGACAGCAGAAGCAGACCATCGAGAGGCTGGAGCAGGAGCACACCAACCGGCTGAGGGACGAGGCCAAGCGCATCAAGGCCGAGCAGGACAAGGAGCTGTCCAAGTTCCAGAACATGCTCAAGAACCGCAAGAAAGAGGTAAGGAAGAAGGGGGTAGTGTGTGTTAGTGTTGCATGGTATACCAAAACATTGTTACTTTTTCGAAACTAGAACATGAAAAATGGTTCAGTACTAGAATTTTTGGTACTTTCGATACTTCTGTCAAATGTGTCTCACGTCGTCTACTGATTGAGAGAGGATCAAGTCTGTCTATCAGCACAGCCGATGTCCCCTTATAGTGCGAGCGTACCGTGCCAGCTCCACTTACTCATTGCTAGCTCTAGCCTGTCCTGAGGAACCACTGCACTCACTGGGAATCTGGGCTGCATCATGTTAGCTCCCCACTCATGCTGCACAGAAGTTAATATATAATGCAACACTTGAATAATGCAAACCAGCATGTAGAAATGGTGCAACTGTTAATTACTGTTTGCAAAACAATGTTAATTACAGGCTAGAACACTTTACAATGCAAGATGATAACGGTAGCTTCCAGCTTTGTAGGCTAACTTTTCTTGCTAGCTTACAGCTTAAGTTAACATCAATTCACTACCCTAGTACTTTGTTTGTGATAATATGCAAACCATAACGCAAAATATGCTGATTTCAAAGCTGATTGTCACCAACAAACCATACAGTCATTGCCAAAAACGTTATTCATTCACTTCGTCTCCCTCGCATCTTATTTTATAAAAGTACGCGCTGTGTCTTTAAGACTTAATGACAACATTCATACACAGTGACAGAGACAGGAGAAACCTGAGGCGAGGGAGACGAAGTGAATGAATAACGTTTTTGGCAATTGCTTCTTCTGTGCAAATGTTGTTGAGCAGTACAATAAAATAAGTCCCAAATGGAAGGGAAACTGATTGTTTTTCATCTGTAACTCCATGAAAACAGCCAAAACAAGCATGCACACACTGCCAGGGCCTGATTAATGCAGGTGCTTACAGGGGCTGAAGCCCCGGGGGCCCAAGCACATATTTCTTTTAAATATTTAAATGTTTACAGTTAACTATAAAATATCTAGGCCTATGATTTCTTAATCCGGCCCTGCACACTCCTGTTGAATATGTATTCACCTGTATTGTGAATAGGCCTAGGCTACATCTTGATTTACCCAGTTTATCAATAGAGATTTACCATTCAAATAAATGATTACCATTATGTTGTTATGTATTTAGATTGGTAAATACAAAGTCAAATTGTATGATTGTACAATTGATTCATTAATTCATACATGGCTATCTTGATCAAGTGCCATTCTGTAAATTTGGCTAATACGCCTTTTTTAGCCGTGGTATCGTTTTGATATCGAGGATCGTGATGGTATCGAGTACCATGATACTAAACTTGGTATCGGCATCAAATGTTTTGGTATCGTGACAACACTAGTGTGTGTGGTATGTGTATGTTGTAACTGAAGCTGTAAATGTCTGGCTGTGTGTGTGCTTGTGATATACAGTACATTTGTGGAAAAGAAACATGTTGATCCGTTTTAGATTAGATTAAGCAGCGATTGGACTCTCATTGGCTGTGTGTGATTTGCAGGGTTGTTTTCACTATAAAGTCTTCCTGTTACGTTTTACATTTACATTTTAGTCATTTAACAGACGCTCTTATCCAGAGCAACCTACAGTCATCTTAAGATAGCTTGGTAAAAAAACACATATCACAGTTGTAGCAAGTACATTTTTCCTCAATAAAGAAGTTATCAGCAAAGTCAGTGCTAGTAGGAAAAGTCAACTAGGAATCGTTTTCTTTTCAACAACAACACTAATTGAAAGACAAAAATATACTAAGCTACTCTTGCAGAGATGAGTTGTCTTCCCAGGCTATAGATGAGCTATGTTGAACTGGATCACTAAAAGTATTTTAATATGCATGATGTACTGTTGAACTGGATCACTAAAAGTATTTTAATATGCATGATGTACTGTTGAACTGGATAACTAGAAGTAGTTTTAATATGCATGATGTACTGTTGAACTGGATCACTAAAAGTAGTTTTAAAATGTATGTTGAACTGGATCACTAAAAGTAGTTTTAATATGCATGATGTACAGTTGAACTGGATCACTACAGTCAGAGGAGGACAGATATTGGTGACATCATGCCACAATAAATTGTAAGAACTAGTCCTATTTTCAATATCTTAAATTTCACAGGGTAGTTAAGACCAGCTGACAAAGATGATATATTCTCAATATCTTGTTTGGAAGGATTTCCCTTGTTGACCATTGACAGTGATGTGAATGTTTAGATGTTTATCCATGTGCACCCCAGTTCATCCTCAGTATTAATCCCTTAGTGTGCCCTCGTAAGAGGATAGCCCAATCAACACGACAATCCAATGCCTATTTATAGCGGCTAGCGTTTTACTGACACACCTGTGGTTACAGTAGATCTCTCTCATAGGGGTTTATATAACCTGTGTCTAAATCAGTCTGAAACTGCCACTTCTCATCACCTGATCCCAGATCTGTAGCCTATGTGCTGTAGCTAAATGATTCTGACGAGGCTATAGTCAGAGACTTTGGCTTATGCAGTACATATACACTACCGTTCAAACGTTTGGGGTCACTTAGAAATGTCCTTGTTTTTGAAAGAAGAGCATTTTTTTTTTGTCCATTAAAATGATCAGAAATACAGTGTAGACATTGTTAATGTTGTCAATGGCTATTGTAGAATAGAGGCTCCTCTGTCCTCCACTCGTTACCTGTATTAATGGCACCTGTTTGAACTTGTTATCTGTATAAAATACACCTGTCCACAACCTCAAACAGTCACACTCCAAACTCCACTATGGCCAAGACCAAAGAGCTGTCAAAGGACACCAGAAACAAAATTGTAGACCTGCACCAGACTGGGAAGACTGAATCTGCAATAGGTAAGCAGCTTGGTTTGAAGAAATCAACTGTGGGAGCAATTATTAGGAAATGGAAGACATACAAGACCACTGATAATCTCCCTCGATCTGGGGCTCCACGCAAGATCTCACCCCGTGGGGTCAAAATGATCACAAGAACGGTGAGCAAAAATCTTAGAACCACACAGGGGGACCTAGTGAATGACCTGCAGAGAGCTGGGACCAAAGTAACAAAGCCTACCATCAGTAACACACTACGCCGCCAGGGACTCAAATCCTGCAGTGCCAGATGTGTCCCCCTGCTTAAGCCAGTACATGTCCAGGCCCGTTTGAAGTTTGCTATAGTGCATTTGGATGATCCAGAAGAGGATTGGGAGAATGTCATATGGTCAGATGAAACCAAAATATAACTTTTTGGTAAAAACCTCAACTCGTCGTGTTTGGAGGACAAAGAATGCTGAGTTGCATCCAAAGAACACCATACCTACTGTGAAGCATGGGGGTGGAAACATCATGCTTTGGGGCTGTTTTTCTGCAAAGGGACCAGGACGACTGATCCGTGTAAAGGAAAGAATGAATGGGGCCATGTATCGTGAGATTTTGAGTGAAAACCTCCTTCCATCAGCAAGGGCATTGAAGATGAAACGTGGCTGGGTCTTTCAGCATGACAATGATCCCAAACACACCGCCCGGGCAACGAAGGAGTGGCTTCGTAAGAAGCATTTCAAGGTCCTGGAGTGGCCTAGCCAGTCTCCAGATCTCAACCCCATAGAAAATCTTTGGAGGGAGTTGAAAGTCTGTGTTGCCCAGCGACAGCCCCAAAACATCTAAATAGGCGTACAGAGGCCCATTATCAGCAACCATCAGTCCTGTGTTCCAATGGCACGTTGTGTTTGCTAATCATTTTACATTTACATTTTAGTCATTTAGCAGACGCTCTTATCCAGAGCGACTTACAGTTAGTGAGTGCATACATTATTTTTTTATTTTTCATACTGGCCCCCCATGGGAATCGAACCCATAACCCTGGCGTTGCAAACGCCATGCTCTACCAACTGAGCTACATCCCTGCCGGCCTTCTTGAGACTAGTTGAGTATCTGGAGCATCAGCAATTGTGGGTTCAATTACAGGCTCAAAATGGCCAGAAACAAATAACTTTCTTCTGAAACTCGTCAGTCTATTCTTGTTCTGAGAAATGAAGGCTATTCCATGCGAGAAATTGCCAAGAAACTGAAGATCTCGTACAATGCTGTGTACTACTCCCTTCACAGAACAGCGCAAGTGACCCCAAACTTTTGAACGGTAGTCTGACATCAAGCTACTTCTCATAGACTTTGGCTAATGAGTTGAAACACAAATCCATATAAAATTCTTGCTGTTGTTTCTGTGTTGTTTCTGCTGTCACGATCGTGTGTTTGTTTGTGGGCTGCCTCGTGCCATAGTTCAAACAGGAAAGGCGACTGTCGCCCAGGCACAAGAGAAACGCTATCGTGAAACGGAGAAAAGAGGATATAATCACAACTCCACGTGAAGAGGTAGTTTGGTGTGGAAAACTTCTGGTGTGGCTTTCCTACTTGGACTGTCCCTTCAATGCCAGTCTACAATGCTTCTGTTGACTGCTTTCAAGATCACTGTCATTTGGCCCCTATGGGAATTCTTGGGCTACTCTTTTTTCCAAAACGTGTCTTTTGTGTGGTTTGTTTTTGGTCAAAAATAGTTTGTGTATGTATTATTCTACAGTAGATAATTTAATTAAAAACATTAATCAAGTAGGCTTACAGTATCTTCCAGCGCAAGTTACAGCACAGTCTAACACTATTGATGTGTTTTCTAACAATCCACCCACCTGTGAATCATTGTGGAACACATTGCCTGTATATTACGGGGGTGTAACAGTGTGTCAGTGTAATGGTTAACTTAGCCAGCAATGTTTATGGATGAGTGGCTGATAATTAGTAGAGTATAATCTGTTCTGGTCTGCAATGTGTGGCCCAGGTTACTGTACTGTTTATAGCCTGAGTGCCAGTCTGTTTGTGCACTATTGCCAACTCCTTTTCCCTTACGGTCATACATAATAATGAGCGTTGGCAGTAATGCACAAACAGACTGGCATTCAGGCGATATGTTATGATTTAGTAGAGTATAGGTCTAATTTGTTGTGATCTACAGGGAGTGGCCCAGGGTATGATTAAATATTTTCAGTTGTCCTCCTGCACTCTCTTCAACGCCCCCATGCAGGATATAAGTTGGAAGATTTCCCCCTTGGTTTGAAATGTGTCCTCTTCCTGCTCTCTCACATGCCAGTGGATTCACTCACTGACTTTGAGACGGCAGTGTTTATATTGGTGCGTTTGTGTGAGTGGAATACCTTGTGTGTGTTCTCCGTTCTCCTTTCCTTAACACCTGGACTGATCGGTATGTGGAGGGCTGGTCTAAAGGGAATGCAGCAGTATTCTGTTTTGGGATTTGGCCTACACATTTCTATAGAGGAAACATCATCAATCCTAAACTTAGCATTTCAATCAACCTGGAACTTAGCAATGAACAACAACATTCACAGTGCACTGCCTATAAACGTATCAAATCTGCCAGTCGACATCCGGTGCTCTACATTTTCGATGACCCAGCACATCTAGTATATGTCCTATCGCCACATTGTTGCCAACTTCCACAATGTGGTCCATTAACTCTAGCCATACTTATCCCCAGGTAAACTATTTTTTTGAATGGAAACCCATAGTCCAGACCCCATACAGTAGGGTTGGCCAGATTACATGCCTGTCCTGATGAGGGGGGTTACATCAACGAGATAGACTTGTCTGCCAGCCTCAATACTCAAAGGTGACTCTCTCTCGTGCTGTTGGAGTCGACTGGGGGAACTATAGCAGTTGAGGTGAGGTGAAGACAGCCCATTCCAAATTGACGGACAGACGTGTTGTTTGGCATCGGCAGCCTGTGTTGTTTTTTTTGCCGTGCGATTACTGTTGGTTTGAATTGAAAAATGAAAAAATGCAGTGGAACTGGCTTCAAGGTCCAGAGTTGAGTTTGAGGGGTATATAGAGATTCTTTACTTATCCAACTGTCTTTCCCTCTTCTTCCTCAGGAGCAGGAGTTCCTGCAGAAACAGCAGCAGGAGCTGGACTGTGCCCTGAAGAAGATCATCCAGCAACACAAACACGAGCTGGCCACCATCGAGAGAGACTGTCTCAACCACAAACAACAGCTCCTCAGAGGTGAAGATATATCTCTCGGCGTGATACATAAACTATAGATAGGTACTCAGTCATAGCTCCTTTCAGAGGGGAGAAACCTTCCTTAACCACAAACAGAAGATGCATGGCTCTGTGTGAGATGCAAGTAGCACAGATGCAAATTGCAGTAGGAATGATACACGACCTTACAAAGGTCATAGTCACTACATAGAAACAGGCTACCCTAGCCGCTATCACCAGCATACTTGAAGGAAATATGGTAAACCTTACTGTTTGTGTGTGAGATGTAAACAGCAAACACACAGTGACATAGTATATAACTTAAAACAGAAGCTCTACAGAGTTCAACCTAAGGCACCGTCAGGCCTTGACTCTAATTGAGCAATAAGGCACGAGGGGGTGTGGTATATGGCCAATATTATGCACGACGCAACACGGAGTGCCTGGATACAGCCCTTAGCCGTGGTATATTGGCCATATACCACAAACCCTGAGATGCCTGATTGCTATTATAAACCTGTTACCAATGTAACATATATAAGTGAAATTAAATGTTTTGTCATACCCGTGATATACGGTCTGATATACCACGTCTTTCAGCCAATCAGCATTCAGGGTTAGAACCACCCAGTTTATAATACCTATTAATGCTGAGAACCTATCATGAACTGAACTGAACAGCGGCCTAATAACTCTGCCTGATCAGATTCCAGTCATCCCACACTTCATACACATCAGCTTACAGAAATAGCTCCACGGAAATGTTCACCAGCTGGAGGCCTTTATGACTTGCTGGTATGAGCCATGTCGTTAGAAAGTGAAGGAAAATGAATGTCTGAAGCAAGTGTCTCACAAACACATTTCAAGCTAACCAGTTAGTCAAATCTAGTGTCCCATGACATGGTTTTTGGGTACCAAGATTCATCAACATCAAATACAAAGGAATGCAGATGAAAGATCTGATTACAGTGGTGGGGTATTGTATCTAATAATAATATGCTGAACTTCCGGGTAATGCAGTGTTTCCTTGTACTGAGTGTGTGTTTCTGTCTTTGGTCCTTGCAGCACGGGAAGCAGCTATGTGGGAGCTGGAAGAGCGTCACCTACAGGAGAAACACCAGTTGTTTAAACAACAGCTCAAAGACCAGTACTTCATGCAGAGACACCAGCTGCTCAAGAGACATGAGAAGGTACAGTGAGGCTTCCAGATAGACAAACAACAGCTGATTCAGGATCAGATCTCATAAACCTAATCCTGAACTGAACCACTAGGAGCAAAATACCTGAACAGGTTGGGGGATAGAGTGAGGCATAATACTGAATGACTACAAGTTATGACTCATAACAGCTGATATTAAATCAGATTGGAAATATGCCTGGGTATTTCTGTTTCTACATTCAACAATGATGCGTCATTGTTTTGCCAAATGTGGACTGTAACGTTGACAAGACAACTATTTGGCTAGCACTTTGGCAACTACTCTAATATCTTAAATATCTCATTTCTATGACAGCTAATGATGTGTTTCTGCCCCCCCCCCCCCCACCCTCCCTCCCTCCCCCTCCCTCCCTCTGTAGGAGATGGAGCAGATGCAGCGCTACAACCAGCGTCTCATCGAGGAGATGAAGAACAGGCAGACTCAGGAGAGGGCCCGCTTACCCAAGATCCAGCGCAGCGAGGCCAAGACACGAATGGCCATGTTCAAGAAGAGCCTCCGAATCACTGGGGGCCCCATCACACCCGAGCAGGAGAGGGAGAAGGTCAAACAGGTAAAAGATAGAGGATATTCATAAAAGACTATTAACGGCCATTTTGTTGGTCAAAAAATACATAACTGTGAATGGAAACCTATGTATGTAGATGTTACTTTCAAAGTATAATGAGGGATTATAGACATTGCTTTCAGTGGAGAAAGAGGTAAAGTCTCTGAGCTTGTTGATCCAAGTCAAAGGGACTTTCCCAGGCACTGAAGGATTTAGTTGGATTTATAGTACTTTTGGCAATGCTAGGTCAAGCTTGAGACTGCTAGTGCAAATTAAGCATGTATCAAGTTCCAACTGTAATTGGGCCTATTTTAATACTCGTGTGAGTTGAGTAAGTGAGATATTTCTGTGTGTTTGACAGTTTGCAGCCCAGGAGGAGAAGAGGCAGAAGAATGAGAGGCTCCACCAGCACCAGAAACATGAGAACCAGATGAGAGACCTGCAACTGCAGTGTGACGCCAACGTCAGGGAGCTGCAGCAGTTACAGGTACACTCTCAGAAATAAAGGTGTAGATTTGTTCCTAAAGGGGTACAATGGCGTGTCACTGGGGTGGTACCCTGTAAGGTCCTCCTTTGTACTTTTAGTTATAGGTACATAATTGTACCCAAGTTCAGACCTCAGATAGTAACTTTCTCCGCAGGTACAAAAGCATGCTTTGTGCCTTTATATAGTGCCACCACAGTGACAAAGCCATTTGTTCCTTGTAAGTGGCAAAAATTGACCTCTACCATAGACCACTTAAAGTAGTACAACACTTCCACTCACAGGTGGCCAAAAATAACTATCTGAAAGCCACTCCCCCACTATGCCACGCCTCCAATACAATTTCCCAGTGTGCCTTGCCTTTTTGATTGAATTGTACAGTTACCATCCATGACTGTATTTGTTAGTGACAGAAACATTGTTGTTAAATTCGTTCATTTTCAGACCTGTGGCCTTCACCAAGTGAGTTCCTAAGCATATATTATAATTTAAATTAAACTCTTTATGACAATACATTACATATCTCATTAGGCCTTATTTTGATGACTAGTTTTACCCTAATACAGTGTCCTGAAACCCTTGGTTTACAGGCCACATCAGGCCTGCTTGCAAAATTCTGGTAACATACCCCAAATTACCAGATTCTTGGAAAAACCCTGGTTGGAGCATTTCCTGCTTATTCCCTCCCGTTTCCAGGAATCTTCCAACTGGGATTCCTAGAAAATCTTGGAAATGTACCAGAATTTTGCAAACCTACCTGCAATTCATTTTATGCTGGCTTGCAAAGTGATTTGTAATTCCTATTGGAATCCAACCAGAGTTAGGATATCCAACAGGAATTTTTATTCACCTGCAACCTGCATTCATAATGACTGCCAGAGTTAGGAACATTTTGAGGAGACTACCTAAGCCATTTAAATTGGACTATTTCAGTAACGGGAGAAACAAATCTAACTAACTGATTGGATTAGTTTAGAAAAATTTATGTTATTTATCTTTGTGTAGCATAAGATTAATCAATCAATGTACATGCAAAAACACAGATTTTAAAAATAATTCTTAAAAAATCAACCTGCAGTAGAGCCTGCTGGGAAATATGATGATAATAATTATGGTACAAATGTGCCTTTTTGGGGTACCACCCCAATGACAAAGCCATTAGTTCCTTTTAGGTGGCAAAAATTCATTGTACCCTATGGTGGGTATTAAGTGTATTGAGGGTACACAAAATATGTTTGTACCCTGGGAAATTAACCTTCACATTGTACCCCATTTTTGAGAGTGTGATGATTATACCTTTTATATTCATAATACAGGTTATAAAAATGTACCATTATACTCTTTATCTGCACATGTACCCTAAAAGGTACCGAACAGTACCATGTGAGATCATTATGTGTACCTCTGAAGGTACATTTAAGCATTTTTTCATCTTGTTGTACTCCAGGGAACAATACTGTACCCTTCTTTCTAAAAGTGTACGGTATAACATATACTGTATAACACGAGCATGCATGCAGGCACACATTAACACACACACTTGGATTCATCTGTGATTCAGTACAGCGTGTAACACCCAATGTGTGCGCTGTGTGTTTCAGAATGAGAAGTGCCACCTCCTGATAGAGCATGAGACCCAGAAGCTGAAGGAGCTGGATGAGGAGCACAGCCTGGAGCTGAAGGAGTGGAGGGAGAAACTACGACCCAGGAAGAAGGTAGCCATTACACCAGTTAACCCCTGAAAGGAAATCATCTCTCTTTCTGTTGAATATTAGGCAGAGAATATTTGGCACATGTTTTGTTTCTGAGGTGGAGGTACTTGTAGTTCAAACACATGGCGGTAGGTAGCCTAGCGGTTAGAGCATTGGGCCAGTAACCGAAACACCGCTATTTCGAATCTCCGAGCTGACTAGGTGAAAAATCTGTCCATGTGCCCTTGAGCAAGACACTTAACCCTAATTGCTCCGCTGATAATGCCTGGCCGTGACCCCACTCTCCGAGGGTGTCTCAGGGGGAATCGGGATATGTAAAAAAACACATTTCGCATTTCCATTCCACAAATGCGTATCTTGTACATGTGTGAAACAGTACTAGTCCTCCTCTAGTCCTCCTCTGTACCTCTGGTGATGTAGAGGTTAACCCAGGCCCTGCAGCCCCCAGTATCATTCCTACTTCCCAGGCGCTATCATTTGTTGACTTCTGTAACCGTAAAAGCCTTGTTTTCTTGCATGTAAATATCAGAAGTCTCCTTCCTAAGTTTGAGTTATTCACTGCGTTAGCACACTCCGCCAACCCTGATGTTCTAGCAGTGTCTGAATCCTGGCTTAGGAAGGCCACTAAAAATTCTGAAATTTCCATCCAACTATAACATTTCCCGTCTAGATAGAACTGCCAAAGGGGGTGGAGTTGCAATCTACTGTAGAGATAGCCTGCAGAGCTCTATCATACTATCCAGGTCTGTGCCCAAACAGTTTGAGCTTCTACTTCTAAAAATCCACCTTTCCAGAAATAAGTCTCTCACTGTTGCCGCTTGCTACAGACCCCCCTCAGCCCCCAGCTGTGCCCTGGACACCACATGTGAATTGATTGCGCCCCATTTATCCTCAGAGTTCGTACTGCTTGGTGACCTAAATTGGGATATGCTTAACACCCCGGCCATCCTACAATCCAAACTAGATGCCCTCAATCTCACACAAATTATCAACGAACCTACCAGGTACAACCCTAAATCCGTAAACATGGGTACCCTCATAGATATCATCCTGACTAACTTACCCTCTAAATACACCTCCGCTGTCTTCAACCAGGATCTCAGCGATCACTGCCTTATTGCCTGCGTCCGTAACGGATCCGCGGTCAAACGACCACCCCTCATCACTGTCAAACGCTCCCTAAAACACTTTAGCGAGCAGGCCTTCCTAATTGACCTGGCCCAGGTATCCTGGATGGATATAGATCTCATTCCGTCAGTAGAGGATGCCTGGTTGTTCTTTAAAAGGAATTTCCTCTCAATCTTAAATAAACATGCCCCATTCAGAAAAGTCAGAACTAAGAACAGATATAGCCCCTGGTTCTCCTCAGACTTGACTGCCCTTGACCAGCACAAAAACATCCTGTGGCGTACTGCATTAGCATCAAATAGCCCCCGAGATATGCAACTTTTCAGGGAAGTCAGGAACCAATATACACAAGCAGTTAGGAAAGCAAAGGCTAACTTTTTCAAACAGAAATTGGCATCCTGTAGCACTAACTCCAAAAAGTTTTGGGACACTGTAAAGTCCATGGAGAATAAGAGCACTTCCTCCCAGCTACCACTACCCCGGCCACCAGCTCTGCACCCTCCGCTGCAACTTGCCCATGCCCCCCCTCCCGCTTCTCCTTCACACAAATTCAGACAGCTGATGTTCTGAAAGAGCTGCACAATCTGGACCCCTACAAATCAGCTGGGCTAGACAATCTGGACCCTTTCTTTCTAAAACTAGCCGCCGAAATTGTCGCAACCCCTATTACTAGCCTGTTCAACCTCTCTTTCGTAACGTCTGAGATCCCCAGAGATTGGAAAGCTGCTGCAGTCATCCCCCTCTTCAAAGGGGGTGACACTCTAGATCCAAACTGTTACAGACCTATATCCATCCTGCCCTGCCTTTCGAAAGTTTTTGAAAGCCAAGTTAACAAACAGATCACCGATCATTTCGAATCCCACCGTACCTTCTCCGCTATGTAATCCGGTTTCCGAGCTGGTCATGGGTGCACTTCAGCCACGCTCAATGTCCTAAACGATATTATAACCGCGATCGATAATAGACAGTACTGTGCACCCGTCTTCATCGACCTGGCCAAGGCTTTCGACTCTGTCAACCACCGCATTCTTATTGGCAGACTAAATAGCCCTGGTTTCTCAATTGACTGCCTCGCCTGGTTCACCAACTACTTCTCAGATAGAGTTCAATGTGTCAAATCAGAGGGCCTGTTGGCTGGACCTATGGCAGTCTCTATGGGGGTGCCACAGGGTTCAATTCTTGGGCCGACTCTTTTCTCTGTGTATATCAATGATGTCGCTCTTGCTGCTGGTGACTCTCAGATCTACCTCTACGCAGACGACACCATTTTGTATACATCTGGCCCTTCATTGGACACTGTGTTAACAAACCTCCAAACGAGCTTCAATGCCATACAACACTCCTTCAGTAGCCTCCAACTGCTCTTAAACACTAGTAAAACTAAATGCATGCTCTTCAATCGAACGGTGCTGGCACCTGCCCACCCGACTAGAATCACTACTCTCGACGGGTCTGACCTAGAGTATGTGGACAACTACAAATACCTAGGTGTCTGGTTAGACTGTAAACTCTCCTTGCAGACTCACATTAAGAATCTCCAATCCAAAGTTAAATCCAGAATCTGCTTCCTATTTCGCAACAAAGCCTCCTTCACTCATGCTGCCAAACATGCCCTCGTAAAACTGACTATCCTACCGATCCTTGACTTCGGCGATGTCATTTACAAAATAGCCTCCAACACTCTACTCAGCAAATTGGATGTAGTCTATCACAGTGCCATCCGTTTTGTCTCCAAAGCCCCATACACTACCCACCACTGTGACCTGTACGCTCTTGTTGGCTGGTCCTCATTACATGTTCGTCGTCAAACCCACTGGCTCCAGGCCATCTATAAATCACTGCTAGGCAAATCCCTGCCTTATCTTAGCTCATTGGTCACCATAGCAACACCCACCCATAGTATGCGCTCCAGCAGGTATATCTCACAGGTCATCCCCAAAGCCAACACCTCCTTTGGCCGCCATTCCTTCCAGTTCTCTGCTGCCAATGACTGGAACGAATTGCATAAATCTCTGAAGCTGGAGACTCTTATCTCCCTCACTAACTTTAAGCATCAGTTGTCAGAGCACCTTACCGATCACTGCACCTGTACACAGCCCATCTGAAATTAGCCCACCCAACTACCTCATCCCTATATTGTTATTTATTTTGCTCATTTGCACCCCAGTATCTCTATTTGCACATAATCTCTTGCACATCTATCATTCCAGTGTTAATACTAATTGTAATTATTTTGCACTATAGCCTATTTATTGCCTTACCTCCATAACTTGCTACATTTGCACACACTGTATATATATTTTCTGTTGTATTTTTTGACTTTATGTTTTGTTTTACCCCATATGTAACTCTGTGTTGTTGTTTTTATCGCACTGCTTTGCTTTATCTTGGTCAGGTCGCAGTTGTAAATGAGAACTTGTTCTCAACTGGCTTACCTGGTTAAATAAAGGTGAAATAAAAAATTTAAAGATCGCTAGTCTCTTCAGAATAAGAGAGCACTACAAATATAAGCAGCCACCAAATTATTATTATGTAATCTCTTGCTTGTGATCCACTCACCAACCATATGTCTGTTGACCTTAGGCTCTGGAGGAAGAGTTTGCCAGGAAGCTTCAGGAGCAGGAGGTCTTCTTTAAGATGAGTGGAGAGTCAGAGTGCCTTAACCCCTCGGCCCAGAGCCGCATCTCCAAGTTCTACCCCATCCCCAGTGTCCACTCCACTGGCTTCTAGAGGTTAACCCTATCATGGCACTCCGGATGGACATAAACATGGGCACACCCACATATTGAAGGCACACACAACACACGATGAACAGATATACACACTCCAGATGGATACACACACACACACACACACACACACACAAATAGACGGGCACACACACACACACTAATAAGACTGAGCCTCTGCTGCCTTGCCCCGTCTCCGCTGATGACAGTCAGGGGGACGAAGGGGGCTATCTCCAAGGGGTGTGTTTGTACCCCTCTAAGGGTGTGTGTACCCATCTATCGGTTTCTGGAAGAGGATGGGACAGTACCCCTCAAGCTACAGACTGTGTTAATCATGAATACCCTTTTAATGGTGATCTGTTATATAATTTACCCCTTTTTCATTGTATAGGGTCGTGTTCAGTTGGGCACACCGTAGCAAAAGTTTGAATCTGTGTTCTTATTGTAGAAGTAGTACCTCCCTGTTTCACTCCATTTCAAAACGTTTTCCACTGACTGAACACAACCAGTTTTATTATTACTGTCTTATAGCTTCCTCTTTTGAAATGAGTTATGAAGGAGATTCCTGACATTATGCATTTTCAAATTCGATACTTTGGCACCGTGTTACTCCAATCCTTGCCTCTAAGTCACTAACGTGTCTCAGGCAGATTTAGTATTTTAATTGCTGATTCTTTTTAATTTGTGAATCTTTTTTTTTTCTTGAATAATCTAGTGCCTGAATAATTTTATTTAAATGGACTGGCTTTTCAAATGTAAGCTTCCTCTGATAAAACAAATGCTGCTCGATTTTTATTTCATTAGTTATTTGCACTAAATAAAAAGGATAAAGTAAAATGTTATACCACTGAAGTCCAGTATAATGTACTTATATATTCAATATCTATGGTGATGTTTGAGAGAGCTAATGATATGATAAGAATGTACTTTTGGTTAAAGATGAGCAGCACATTTTTTATAATGAATTTTGACATAGGCATGATATATTTTATATGCATCACACATATCTTCATAAGATATTGAATTTAGTTTCCAATGGACTAGGGAGTGACTGCCTGAAGTTGTGCATGGATTTGAATGCAAGTTCAACTTCTTATGCTATAATTATGGTATCAAATGTTATTTTTTGGAGCTTATAAACAACAGTTTGGGATTTCTATCTTGTCGGAAATGGTTCCTTTCTTCTAGCCTGGGAGTCCAAACTGAATCACTACTTTCACTGTTGTTTTACTTACGGAGTGATTCGGTTGAGATTCTCAGGCTAGTATCTTTCTTCAGGTTTCATGAGCATGCCTTTCATCTTCAGCACAACTCTTGAGATTTGTTTTGCTCTTTTTGTAATTTGGCGTAGTCGGCAAGTGCCCATTTTGTTTTAGCATATCAAGGAGGGGGTATTAAAATGGTGTTTGTTTATATCCAGACAGAGACAAGGTTTTCACTGTGGTTGCTGAAATGGCGTTGTTATATCATTCGATAGAAATCTGTGAGGACCTATAAGGAGGTCTGTTTTGTTAGACTTTCATGCCAATTTTTGGTATGTCTGTGTATTGTTTAAAAAATTGCCTCCCAGTAATAAGGTATTATTGCATTACCATATTCATCAGTTGACCTGCATGGCTTTTGGGTTTGTTTGTAAGGAAATTATGATACTGTTTTATTATCATTCATACTAGCTAATAGCCTTAATGTTTTCAACAAAATGTATGAAGATACGGTATTCATGTTGTGGCCCTCTGTGTAGTTATTTTAATCAGACTTAGTTCAAATCCCGCCCCAAGTGATCTTTATATTCGTATAGCCTACAGTATCATATTCAAATGTTTGGTTCGTTACTTATTTAATCTAAGGATAATGAATATGACGTTATCATGAGTTTAACAGTTTTGAAAACATTTTCAGAACCACAGTTTTAACCCTATTTTATCATAGATATGCATGATCTACTCTGAAGTGGTGGTAGCCTATAACCTTCAATACAGTTGAAAATAATTTGTTAAAAAGGAACTGTTGGACCTGACTGGTTTAGGCCATCATGACCTCTGATTGGTCTATTTGTCATCTCGCCCTTTTCTGATTGGCTTCAGGAACAACAATCAATCAATGCTATTTTATTTTAATTGGTCTGTAATAGTGGCAAATAAAGACAAAACATCATACACAATGAAGGAGTGCTGTGCACCTTTCACAAAATGAAGATACTCTGCCAGTAGCTATTTATGTGGAAATGTATCTTTACTACAGTACAGTATTGTAGTTTCCTCAATTGTCAAAAAGTTCATTTCAAATCTGAAATTTAAGCTGAATTGAAAATATAATTGAATACCAATCATATCACTATGTGTTATGTTATTAGTGTCATGATTTCATTCAGATTTTCAAATTGTATCATGATTGATTTCAGAATGTTGTTTGAAATTGAACTACCATGATAAAGTCATGTGCATTTTTAAGACGAGTTTACTTTATAGTTTATAGAATGCCTATGTACTGTAGATTTGCATTGTTCTGTAAATAAACAATTTCCTGTATGCAATATTGTGTACTTGTTTGTTTCTTGAGTGAGTCTATAGCAACAATGAACAATGTGAACCTTATGTTCCACTTTGATTAAATAAGTTAAAACTAAGCTTTATTTTGTATAAAGTGATACCAGTACATTCAAAGGAGATTTTGACGATGTTTTTGGTTTTGTTCGTTATCAAAGTCCAATAACGATAATAGCACAATAGTACAAAAGCTATTGAATAGAAATAGCACACCCTGTCATATTTTTCACCACATAATTGAACTATTTCCACTATCAACATGCAAGGAGGTGAATTGGAAAGAAACCCCATATCAAACACTATAGTAAAAATAGATCATAAAGACATATTTTACAAATAAAAATCAACAACACAATACATCAGTGCATGGAATACTACACTGTTCAACAGTTTATCCTATAGAAAACTATACATTTACATCAGTAATGTCTCCAAGGCATTAGGCCCCAAACATGTATGCTCATGAGATTACATATTTCATCGGACTTTCATTCACCTTTAATGAGCATTTATCAATCATTTGTTTCTCAAACACCGACATTCCTCCTTCTTCTGTGCGTCACAAGTGTGTATTCTCCTGAGGAAAAATGTGAAATCATAATGAAACCATATTATCTCTTTTGCATAACTAGGTCAGATAGACATATCATGCATAGCAGTGACACTTGTATTGAGGGTACTGTCATCATAGAATTACATGTAGTATCCCTAGAATGGATCCTACTGTAGCAACTTAAGTATGTTGGTAAAGAGAAAACTTGAATAGGATCTCTGTGATTAACATGACCTACCTTTCTCTCCCTTTTCCCCCATTTTCCCCTCCAGACCAGGGAGGCCTGTCCTTCCTGGGATGCCATCCAGTCCTGGTTTACCAGAATTCAGAGTGAAAGTGTCACAATGGGACTTATTTTATGACTTTGTCTCACCTGATCACCAAAGTGGCTTAACACAATGGTTTACAAAGACCTGGCAAATAATCAAGAGCGCAATTCTAAAGATTTAAAAGGTGTAATGGTTCAAATGGTACCTCTCTCTCCTTTGTGACCTGTATGTCCTATGTCCCCTTTCTGTCCTGGCCTCCCAGGGGGTCCCACAATGTTTCCATGGGCTATGGAGGATACATAAGGTTATTTCATATACAGTTAAAGCTGCAAGCAGCATTTGGGGTCCAAGCACAAGGGCAAAGCCCCACAATGTTCAATTGTAAAAAAATTGGACATGACAACTGGTACTGTTCTTAATTAAAATGTATAATTTGATATTCGTCAATGAATTGCATTTATACTGTATTATTCTCACCTCTGATGTATTCCACAAGGTCAGTGGCGTTACTATGGGAACCAAACACATGGCTGAATCCTGGAGCACCGGGTGGGCCAGGGGGTCCTGGGGGTCCTTGAACAACCTGTGACTTCTCCAGCTGAGAGCGGTTCTCAACCACGTCCCTCAAAAGACCATGGGCTACGGGATGGGATACAATCAAGATCAGAGATAGCATATGCATTTACATCCAATGACCAGCAAAAGTAGGACTCTTCATTCATTGTCGATGGTCGCTATCTTTACTTATCAACATGTGTGGCCCATTGGCATATAAATGGAATTACTAGAACTGGCATTCCCATTCAAGTCAATGTGCCATTCCGTTGATCCATTGTCATTGGAAACAAATAAGCTTTGAAGAATTTTGTTTAAATCTTGAGTTTAAATGTGTCTAGCGCTGAACAGTATATTGTAGCACTGCGATGACAGTATTGGATATTCAGTTTCACTTACACTTGATGTAGTCAGTCACTCGGACCGCTATATTGGAGTAGTCTGTCTCAGTCTCAGCCAGCCTGCTTCCCTCGCTGGTCCTGTGGTCGAAGACGTGGCCGTTCCCAGAGTCACCCTGCTCTCCCTTGTGTCCCTGGGGTCCAGGGGGACCTGGGGGGCCTGGGGGGCCCAAACATGCCCCCTCTTAGACCATCACCTGGAGAGGAAAATACAATATGCCAGTTATTCCCACTGATACCCACTGATCTGGGTCAGTTAACTCAATGCCAAGGACAAATGATTGCTTTGAAATGAATGGGAGTCTGTAAAATCCCCTGGCAATGTCTATTTTTCTTTTTAATAAGTAACCTTTTTATCTTGGGGCGGACATCCATAAAGTGATGTAATTAGGCTAACCTATTGTACAGGCTCAAGGCGTTTCAAGTAATCTATTCACTTTTATTTCCTGGTTTAGACCTACAGGGTGGATAATGGCAAACTAACTATTTCTGTACTGCTGTAACTCTATGAATCTTTGGAAAGTACTGTAATACCATATCATTATCCACTCAGTAGAAAACCATTTATGAAACCGTTATTGATTTGACCATACTCACTCTGTATGTAGTCCTTGACCTCCTCCAGCCTGTATCCAGAGCCGCTGTAGGGGGCCAGTCCTGAAGGACCGGCGGGGTCCTTGAGGGCCAGCGGGGCCTGGGACACCAGGTGGACCAGGAGGCCCCTGAGTGCCCAAGATGCCTCTGTATTCAGAATCTAGAAAGGACAGGCAGAACTGACATCAATCAAACTGTTAATAGGAATAAATATGCAGACTGTCCAGTAAGTCACTCTGGCTGTAGACCTATGATAGATGATTGGAATGTAATGTGTGGCCAAAACCATGTCCTTTAGCTCTTGCGGAAAAAACATGTGCTAAACGCTAATGTTAGTATAAAGTCCGTAGTCAGAGCTAGGGTTGCAAAAATTCCGGAAACTTTCAATAGATCCTGATACCCCGGTTGGAGGATTTCGGATTTCCTGCTATTCCCTTCTGATTCCGGAAATCCTCCAGCTGGGGTTTCGGAAATAACTGGGAATCTATTGAAAGTTCCCTGGAATTTTACAACTCTAGTCAGAGCTCTTACTTTGCAGTAGATAAGAGATGTCACCATAAGACCCAGGTAGGCCTGGTGGGCCGGGAGGTCCAGGGGGTCCGAGCACACCCACCATACCCTGCTCTGATGACAGACGGATGCAACAACCAATCACAACCCTGCATTCTGATCACGTGACTAATTCAAATGAATTGAACTACTAGCCAAGACCCACCTGTAGGTCCCGGCCCACCATTTGGGAAACACTTGCATACACTATGGTTAAAGAAGCTAATGGTGTGTGTATGAATCTAAATGTGAATCTGACATGGCTGTGTAACAGTGATTCCTTACCATTCATTAGAGTGAGGACTCGTCCAGCCACCTCATGGGTGTTAAAGCCATAGCCACCTCTCCATGGGATCCCTGGGATGCCAGGAGGTCCAGCAGGGCCAGGAGGACCGATGACGTAACGCCGCACTTCCTCCCCTGAGAGAGGTACGGATCAGGCAAGGGCACTTCACTGACCATTGACTGTCTCTTGACACAATGTTATCTCTTTATTCCATCCCGATTTTCAAAATCTGCACTCAAACATCTGACTTACTCTGTATAAGGCTGATGATGTCTTCTAGCGATATACCGCCTCCGCCTGGTGCGCCAGGCGGGCCTGGAGGTCCAGGCACCCCACTAGCAATACCTCCACCTGAAATGTCAACAGAAGTATTAGACCCAGGTAAACATTCAATATGATATACTTCATATAAGTAATGCTTTGGATAAGAAGTTGGATTGTCTGGACTCACTCTGGATGTATGCGATGACGCGACTAACAAGGTCGTCCACTGACTCCACTGATCCACCACCAGGGGGCCCCTGGTGCGCCAGGAGGACCCGGAGGACCCGACATGTACTCCCTGACACCATCGCCTTCATGAAGGACAACACAATGCACAAGTTACTGCATTGCTAAACAGTAGCATAGAAAAGGTTTCAGATCATTTGGCCCCATTTTAGTTTTGGTTTTGTTCGCCATATTGTCCCATGGAGGTCATGTATGCTATCAAATATTGTAACGGTCTTTGGATGGACATAGTTTAGCCCCACTCCTTTAAATTGGAGGTAATGAAGAAAAAGCAGAGTAGATCATCTCACTCACTCTTGAGGTATTCTGTGATGTATTGACGGACATCCGGTGTTCCAGCCCCAGACCCAGGTGGCCCATCGCGGCCGGGGGCCCCGGGAGGTCCAGGTGGGCCTGGTGCTCCAGGGGAACTCCTGGATGATCCACCACTGGAGTAGCCAGGGATTCCTGGAGCACCTGGAACGCCAGCCTCACCTAATACAGATATAAGTAGGCTTAATTTACACAAATGATCCATATCTAGTGATAAACATTGTTAAAGTGATGCTCCAGAGCTTTTGTATAATTTCAGCCAGTAGTTTTGAAAGTAGTGCTCACGAGCCAAAACTGGGTCCCCGTTTTTACTATTTTTGCAATTCGTATGATATGTTACGAATTCATAAGTGCTTAAGATCCCGGATTGCATCTTTAAAGGGGTGTAAGGGTGTACCTTTGGGACCCTGCTGCCCCTCAGGGCCCTCTGGACCTTGGGGCCCTGGAGGTCCACTGTCCCCTTCTGGTCCTGGACCTCCAGGTCGTCCAGGGAAACCTGGGGAGAAAACAACACAGTGAACAACACAAAGGATCAAGTAAATTCAGAAGTAAATGTTGATTGTAACCTAAGCCACAGGTGTAGGCTTACATGTTTAACCATGCTTCTGATAAATATTTGATCCACTCACCGACACCGGGATCTCCGGGAACTCCTGGTAAACCGGGCTGACCTGGGTCACCTGAAACATAGATTTTAGGTTTGTCACTAAGTCTGCCATGTACAGTTGAAGTCGGAAGTTTACATACACCTTAGCCAAATACATTTAAACTCAGTTTTTCACAATTCCTGACATTTAATCCTAGTAAAAGTTCCCTGTCTTTGGTCAGTTAGGATCACCACTTTATTTTAAGAATGTGAAATGTCAGAATAATAGTAGAGTGATTTATTTCAGCTTTTATTTCTTTCATCACATTCCCAGTGGGTCAGAAGTTTACATACACTCAATTAGTATTTGGTAGCATTGCATTTAAATTGTTTAACTTGGGTCAAACGTTTCGGGTAGCCTTCCACAAGCTTCCCACAATAAATTGGGTGAATTTTGGCCCATTCCTCCTGACAGAGCTGGTGTAACTGAGTCAGGTTTGTAGACCTCCTTGCTCGCACACGACTTTTAAGTTCTGCCCACAAATTGTCTATAGGATTGAGGTCAGAGCTTTGTGATGGCCACTCCAATACCTTGACTTTGTTGTCCTTAAGCCATTTTGCCACAGCTTTGGAAGTATGCTTGGGGTCATTGTCCATTTGGAAGACCAATTTGTGACCAAGCTTTACCTTCCTGACTGATGTCTTGAGATGTTGCTTCAATATATCCACATACATTTCCTTCCTCATGATGCCATCTATTTTGTGAAGTGCACCAGTCCCTCCTGCAGCAAAGCACCCCCACAGCATGATGCTGCCACCCCCGTGCTTCACGGTTGGGATGGTGTTCTTCGGCTTGCAAGCCACCCCCTTTTCCTCCAAACATAACGATGGTCATTATGGCCAAACAGTTCTATTTCATCAGACCAGAGGACATTTCTCCAAAAAGTACGATCTTTGTCCCCATGTGCAGTTGCAAACCGTAGTCTGGCTTTTTTATGGCGGTTTTGGAGCAGTGGCTTCTTCCTTGCCTAGCGGCCTTTCAGGTTATGTCAATATAGGACTCGTTTTACTGTGGATATAGATACTTTTGTACCTGTTCCCTCCAGCATCTTCACAAGGTCCTTTGCTGTTGTTCTGGGATTGATTTGCAGTTTTCGCACCAAAGTACGTTCATCTCTAGAAGACAGAACGCATCTCCTTCCTGAGCGGTATGACGACTGCGTGGTCCCATGGTGTTTATACTTGCGTACTATTGTTTGTACAGATGAACGTGGTACTTTCAGGCGTTTGAAAATTGCTCCCAAGGATGAACCAGACTTGTGGAGGTCTACAATTTATTTTCTGAGGTCTTGGCTGATTTCTTTTGATTTTCCCATGATGTCAAGCAAAGAGGCACTGAGTTTGAAGGTCGGCCTTGAAATACATCCACAGGTACACCTCCTATTGACTTAAATGATGTCAATTAGCCTATCAGAAGCTTCTAAAGCCATGACATCATTTTCTGGAATTTTCCAAGCTGTTTAAAGGCACAGTCAACTTGTGTATGTAAACTTCTTACCCACTTGACTTGTGATACAGTTAATTATAAGTGAAATAATCTGTCTGTAAACAATTGTTGGAAAAATTACTTGTGTCATGCACAAAGTAGATGTCCTAACTGACTTGCCAAAACTATAGTTTTTTAACAAGACATTTGTGGAGTGGTTGAAAAACAAGTTTTAATGACTCCAACCTAAGTGTATGTAATCTTCCGACTTCAACTATAAATAGTATGTGATTAAAGCCAGTTCATAGCCTACTATGATATCAATCCAGCCCTTTGACATGGAAATGCCTTTCCAATTGCTTACCTTGGTAACCCTGGGGTCCTGGTTTGCATTAGGAAACAATAAAATGATTTACAAGATGAGTGCACATAACTTCTGTTTAGACCAAATTGACTATGATAAAAACACTAATGGTATAGACAGTGAGTTGGACCCCTCTGTACCTGGTGATCCCGGAAGACCAGTTGGGCCAGCAGGTCCTGGTGGCCCAGCGAAGAAGGTTCCTGAAAAACAACACAGCATTACATTACAACATTACATTGCGTTACATTACGTGACATTCCATATCATACCATATCATATACTGATCAACAGCTTCAATCTTGACATCTTTGACAGAAGAGTCATTGTGATTGTGTTGAGTGATCAGATGGTTACAGTATGGAGAGTGTAGTGTCTTTTTGGTAAGGGCCACCTACCTGAGTTGGGCACGAAGCTACCTGGCTCTCCCTTCTCTCCTTGGGGGCCGGGCACGCCAACACCTGCGAGAGGAATGGGTCAGGTTTTTGCAACAGATGATGCAAACCCGTTCTTACAATAGCTTAATTATTTTACAATGCCATTTCAATATAACATTGTACATTTTTCTCAGGTAGAAATGTTATGGCTTACCTGGTACACCTGGCTCTCCTCGAGGACCTTCAGGACCTGGGAGACCCTTACCTGAGAAAGAACAAAGTATGAATTTGCTTTTCAAAAAGGACAGAATCCATAAGAAAAAGGGATCAGAACAAAAGTAAATCAAAAAGGTATCCATTCAAAAATACACTGAAGTCCTAAAGTGCATGGAGAATGAACTACATGGCTTACCTAGAGGACCCTGGGCACCTGGTTCTCCTGGGGGCCCTGGAGGGCCAGGAAGACCAGCCACAGGTGAACGTTCTGTTGTAAGGGGTAAGGTAAGTTTAGAGGTAATAAGAAAGTGATATGCTATAATGAATCTAAAACAAGAAGATATGTTCACAAGTCAGGTAGTTACAAGCAGTCTGGAAGAATGCATTGATATGAGCCAAACATACTCACTCTCGCTGGGTTTCCACAGTCTGTACAGTAATACCAGGCTTTCCCTGGTCTCCCTTCTCTCCTTCCTCTCCCTTTTCTCCCTTGGGACCTATAGAGACAAAGACAATGAACAATCAAAGGGAAAGTACGTACAGTATGTGGTCCCTGATGTCTCATTAGATATCTGAGAAATAGGTCTTACCAGGCGTTCCAGGAAGACCAGCAGGGCCAACAGGACCTGAGGAGACACAACAGAAGCAATGAGCACAAATCTTACCTTACTTCAATGGAAAGTCTATGAGGAACTTCATAAAGATCTCCAACATCTAGATCTGGTCAAGACGATACAGTGTTTACTCAAACTGTATAACAATGTGTTAGAACATTTTAGAATTTAGAGCTTCAGTACCAACCTGAGAGTCCAGGGGATCCGGCAGCACCAGGTGGTCCGGGGCTGCCTGGAGGTCCGGGCATGGCTACCGAACTGGAACCAGCTGGAATTCAAACAGGAGAGATTGACCAATGACCATCCATTATTAAAGAACATATGATGCTGTCCTAATGTGGACACTGAACTATGAAGTAATCTCAAGAAATATATACAGGTGCAGATGTACAGTACCTATCCACCAATGTAACATTGTCTCTAATTCGCCTTGCCGTTTTCTCTGACTTACCTGCATTGATGACTCTACCAGGTTCTCCGGCTTCGCCTAGAAGATAATATGATGATAGATTGAATGAAAGCATAATCCTGTTTGACTAAAGACAGAGGAAGTATGTAATAGGTACATTACCTTTAGCTCCAGACTGACCAGGATTACCTGGTATACCTATGGTGGGTGGAGGGGGAGGGTTATAAAAAGGTTAATATTTGAGATACCATGCATCTGAAATGCAATCAAGGAATGCTTTTGTATCAAAGAGTCATACCTGGTGGACCTTGAAGCCCGGGAATGCCTACAGCGGAAACAAGTGGAAAATGTATGTTATTGAAATTTAAATATTGAATACTAAATATTGATGGATGGATGGATGGACGAATGGATGGATTGATTGATATATTGATACATTTATTTATTGATTGTACCTGGGAGGCCTGTATCTCCTGGAGGTCCTGCTGGTCCTCTGGGACCTGGCAGCCCATCTGATCCCTTGTCACCTGGAATGATAAAGGTATCAACTATCCTATAAAAATCTAAAAGTTGTTATATGGACAACACTATTTTTATACCAAGCGATAGCATTGTGGTTTCTATCTACAAAAGGATGTTGTTGTTCTTACCTCTAGAGCCTTTTTCCCCATCAGCCCCGGGAGCTCCTGTTGAATAACACCCACACATACAGAATAGAAGAATTTCACTATTACGGTGTCTATATTAGGACAGCCTGAGATTATTCTAGCAGCACAATGTTTTCTTCACCTGCAGGTCCTTTGGATCCCTTTGCTCCCTCTGGTCCTGGAAGTCCTCTTTGACCTGGGTCACCTACGGGGATGGAGAGGGTACATAACCACTATTAAATGTGCTTACACACCAGTTTACGTACACTACCGTTCAAAAGTTTGGGGTCACTTAGAAATGTCCTTGTCTTCGAAAGAAAGCAGGTTTTTTGTCCATTAAAATAACATCAAATTGATCAGAAATACGGTGTAGACATTGTTAATGTTGTAAATGGCTATTGTAGCTTGAAACTGCTGATTTTTTAATGGAATATCTACATAGGTGTACAGAGGCCCATTATCAGCAACCATCAGTCCTGTGTTCCAATGGCACGTTGTGTTTGCCAATCCAAGTTTATCATTTTAAAAGGCTAATTGATCATTAGAAAACCCTTTTGCAATTGTGTTAGCACAGCTGAAAACTGTTGTGCTGATTAAAGAAGCAATAAAACTGGCCTTCTTGAGACTGGTTGAGTATCTGGAGCATCAGCAATTGTGGGTTCGATTACAGGCTCAAAATGGCCAGAAACAAATATCTTTCTTCTGAAACTCGTCAGTCTATTCTTGTTCTGAGAAATGAAGGCTATTCCATGCGAGAAATTGCCAAGAAACTGAAGATCTCGTACAACGCTGTGTACTACTCCCTTCACGGAACAGCGCAAACTGGCTCTAGCCAGAATAGAAAGAGGAGTGGGAGGCCCCGGTGCACAACTGAGCAAGAGGACAAATACATTAGAGTGTCTAGTTTGAGAAACAGATGCCTCCAGGTCCTCAACTGGCAGCTTTATTAATAGTACCCGCAAAACCCCAGTCTCAACGTCAACAGTGAAGAGGCGACTCCGGGATGCTGACCTTCTAGGCAGAGTTGCAAAGAAAAAGCCATATCTCAGACTGGCCAATAAAAAGAAAAGATTAAGATGGGCAGTCTGAGATATGGCTTTTATTGCTTCTTTAATCAGCACAACAGTTTTCAGCTGTGCTAACATAATTACAAAAGGGTTTTCTAATGATCAATTAGCCTTTTAAAATGATCAGCTTGGATTAGCAAACACAACGTGCCATTGGAACACAGGACTGATGGTTGCTGATAATGGGCCTCTGTTCGCCTATGTAGATATTCCATAAAAAATCAGCCATTTCCAGCTACAATAGCCATTTACAACATTAACAATGTCTACACTGTATTTCTGATCAATTTGATGTTATTTTAATGGACAAAATAAATTATTTTCTTTCAAAAACAAGGACATTTCTAAGTGAGCCCAAACTTTTGAACGGTAGCGTATATAGTGCACATTTCTCTCAATGATTATCCTAGACAAGGGGGAGAGAACAAATAAAGGGGAGACACAAAGTTTTGACAGATACACACCTGATAGTCCGCGGGGTCCTTTCTCTCCTGTCTCACCCTTATTTCCTGGAGGTCCAGCTGGTCCCTTCTCGCCTGGACGAGGAGAGAAACAATAGGCTTACTGATATGATCTTTGTTTAATGCTGCAATATGTAACTTTTTGGCCGACCCGACCAAATTCACATCGAAGTTATAGACATGTCATTCTCATTTAAAGTAAGTCTAAGAAGTACGCTATTTCTATCTTTCCATTCTTACATTTCTTAAATTACTTTCGGTTTATCAAACAGCTATTGAAAAGATACAGTATTTCACAGCGGTTTAGATGGTACAATGATTCTCTACACAATTGCTTGTTTTGTCACAAACTGAAATTAGGCGAAACTATTCAAATTATTGCAACCAGGAAATGGCAAAGCGATTTCTGCATATTGCACCTTTAAAGCTAGAATCCTCCATTGAAACAATAACAAAGCCACCTCCCCGCTCCTCTTCCACTAAAAAAGTAAGGGATGGGGGCTGGAGAAATGTAACCACTCTCAAATTCATAGACAGCACTATGGATGTGTAACTGTATTGCTTCCGTCCCTCTCCTCGTCCCAGCCTGGGCTTGAATCAGGGACCCTCTGCACACATCAACAACAGTCAACCTCAAAGCATTGTTACCTATCGCTCCACAAAAGCCACGGTCCTTGCAGAGCAAGGGAAACAACTACTTCAAGGTCTCAGAGCGAGTGATGTCACCAATTGAAATGCTACTAGCGCACACTGCTAACTAGCTAGCCATTTCACACCGGTTACAGATGCATACCATCCATGGTATCAAATGTATAGTTTTAACCATGTGTTGACGCGATACAGTGTTTGTTTACATTTACATTCTTTTAAAAATTTTAGTAAAGCAAGCTTATATTTTGGGTTCTGATGGGGTATGACAGTTGAACTAAGCTCATGAGAAATTAATAAGGTTGTCCTGCCGTCGCAACCTTCGCTCTCGCTCTCCTGCTACTCTCTCCTCTTCCATCCTATCATCTCTTCCCTCTGCTAAATCCTTCTCCCTCCGATCTCCTGATTCTGCCTCCTCAACCCTCCTCTCCTCCCTTTCTGCATCTTTTAACTCTCTATGTCCCCTATCCTCCCGGCCGGCTCGGTCCTCCCCTCCTGCTCCGTGGCTTGATGACTCATTGCGAGCTCACAGAAGAGGGCTCCGGGCAGCCGAGCGGAAATGGAGGAAAACTAGACTCCCTGCGGACCTGTCATCTTTTCACTCCCTCCTCTCTACATTCTCTTCCTCTGTTTCCACTGTTAAAGCCACTTTCTACCACTCTAAATTTCAAGCCTCTGCCTCTAACCCTAGGAAGCTCTTTGCCACCTTCTCCTCCCTGCTGAATCCTCCTCCTCCTCCCCCTCCCTCCTCCCTCTCTGTGGATGACTTCGTCAACCATTTTGAAAAGAAGGTTGATGACATCCGATCTTCATTTATTAAGTCAAATGACACCGCTGGTCCTGCTCACACTGCCCTACCCTATGCTTTGACTTCTTTCTCCCCTCTCTCTCCAGATGAAATCTTGCGACTTGTGACGGCTGGCCGCCCAACAACCTGCCCGCTTGAGCCTATCCCCTCCTCTCTTCTCCAGACCATTTCCGGAGACCTTCTCACTTACCTCACCTCGCTCATCAACTCATCCTTGACCGCTGGCCATGTCCCTTCCGTCTTCAAGAGAGTGAGAGTTGCACCCCTCCTCAAAAAACCTACACTCGATCCCTCCGATGTCAACAACTACAGACCAGTATCCCTTCTTTCTTTTCTCTCCAAAACTCTTGAGCGTGCCGTCTCTAGCCAACTCTCCTGCTATCTCTCTCAGAATGACCTTCTTGATCCAAACCAGTCAGGTTTCAAGACTGGTCATTCAACTGAGACTGCTCTTCTCTGTGTCACGGAGGCTCTCCGCACTGCTAAAGCTAACTCTCTCTCCTCTGCTCTTATCCTTCTAGACCTATCTGCTGCCTTTGATACTGTGAACCATCAGATCCTCCTCTCCACCCTCTCCGAGTTGGGCATCTCCGGCGCTGCTCACTCTTGGATTGCATCCTACCTGACAGGTCACTCCTACCAGGTGGCGTGGCGAGAATCTGTCTCCGCACCACGTGCTCTCACCACTGGTGTCCCCCAGGGCTCAGTTCTAGGCCCTCTCCTATTCTCTCTATACACCAAGTCACTTGGCTCTGTCATATCCTCACATGGTCTCTCCTATCATTGCTACGCAGACGACACACATTTAATTTTCTCTTTTCCCCCTTCTGATAACCAGGTGGCGAATCACATCTCTGCATGTCTGGCAGACATATCAGTGTGGATGTCGGATCACCACCTCAAGCTGAACCTCGGCAAGACGGAGCTGCTCTTCCTCCCTGGGAAGGACTGCCCGCTCCATGATCTCGCCATCATGGTTGACAACTCCATTGTGTCCTCCTCCCAGAGTGCAAAGAGCCTTGGCGTGACCCTGGACAACACCCTGTCGTTCTCTGCTAACATAAAAACGGTGACCCGATCCTGCATGTTCATGCTCTACAACATTCACAGAGTACGACCCTACCTTACACAGAAAGCGGCACAGGTCCTAATCCAGGCACTTGTCATCTCCCGTCTGGATTACTGCAACTCGCTGTTGGCTGGGCTCCCTGCCTGTGCCATTAAACCCCTACAACTTATCCAGAACGCCGCAGCCCGTCTGGTGTTCGACCTTCCCAAGTTCTCTCATGTCACCCCGCTCCTCCGCACACTCCACTGGCTTCCAGTTGAGGCTCGCATCTACTACAAGACCATGGTGCTTGCCTACGGAGCTGTGAGGGGAACGGCACCTCCTTACCTTCAGGCTCTGATCAGACCCTACACCCAAACGAGGGCACTACGTTCATCCACCTCTGGCCTGCTAGCTCCCCTACCTCTACAGAAGCACAGTTCCCGCTCAGCCCAGTCAAAGCTATTTGCTGCCCTGGCACCCCAATGGTGGAACAAGCTCCCCCACGACGCCAGGACAGCGGAGTCACTGACCACCTTCCGGAGACACTTGAAACCCTACCTCTTTAAGGAATACCTGGAATAGTATAAAGTAATCCTTCTACCCCCCCCCCCCCCCCCCCCCCCCCCCCCCCCCCATAAAAAAAGAAGAAAAAAAGTGGTTGTCCCACTTGCTATCATAAGTTGAATGCACCAATTTGTAAGTCGCTCTGGATAAGAGCGTCTGCTAAATGATGTAAATGTAAATGTAAGAATCAATGGGTATATATCATAAATGTATGAGTCCAAAAATGTATGTAGCAACTAAGGTTTCTAGCTATAAGTGCTATATTTGTAGCTTTCTCTTCGTGAATCTAAATCAAGTAAATAGGCCTGCATACAGCACAGTACTGTACATCATCTCAATATGTTGTTCTAGAATACCTTTTGGTCCTGGAGCGCCTGCTTCACCTCGGAAACCCTGTGGACCAGGAGTTCCTGGAGAAAAGTGACAAATACACAACTTTAGAAATCACATGCTTGTGTCTTCTTCCTATACAATGGTACACAAAAAGGGCAAAGAGCACTCACCTGGGATACCTGTAGCACCCTGAGCACCCATTGACCCTGGAAAACACAAAATAAATACACTTTCACAACGACGGCCAACAGTTACAGTCCCAGTATTGATGAATTACATTGACATTTTAGTCATTTAGCAGACGCTCTTATCCAGAGCGACTTACAATTAGTGATGGTTTAATGTATCTCATCAATCTAGACGTATTTCCTGTATTGATGATGACCTTTGGCATTACCTTTAGGTCCAACAGGCCCAGCAGTGCCAGCAGGTCCGGAGCCTCCGGGTTCACCAGGAGAACCTATGGCATCACATAACATTACATAAGAGCTTGAACAGGAACCCATCATTTGAATATAGCAATTTGATGGATTTTGTCTCTGAAGATGTACTAACTGTGAGGCCATCAAATACACTTATGAACATACCTCTGTCCCCTTTCTCTCCAAACCCTGGAGGACCAGGCTCTCCACGTGATCCCGTTGGTCCTTCTCGGCCCCTCTGCCCTGGGAGGCCCTCTGCACCAGCTTCACCTATTCACAGATGAGAAGAGATGCATTGTGGGAGTGATAGTCTATAAGATTGAGATCTTGTAAGATAAGTCAAATTGTGTCCTTAAGCATTACCTGCATTTCCTTTAGGTCCCCTCAGGGCCCTCCTGTCCACTGTGACCCATCTGACCTGGTGGACCTGAGGAAGAGAAGCCAAACATCAGTCTGCTATCATTAAGCAGAATATTATTAACTGTAGCCACTCCAGAATAAAACTAATTGTTTGTGTTCCTACCTGGTAGGCCAGGGAATCCATTATCACCTGAAATGAATGAATGAATTCCATTTGTACAGTATAACTCTAACATGTACGGTATTTGCTGTGTGACGTCATTGACATTAAATGTAGGTCTATGGCTCACTGACCTTTGACTCCTGGACCACCTTGGTCACCTGAAATAAAACAGTTGAAATGTTAATCAACAGACATAGCCAAAACTTGCTCTGCCAATGCAGTATGTTTCCATCTATGGATGGATGGATCCATCTATGTTTCCATGTCCATACAGTGGATGTCCTACAGTACCTTTGGTCCCAGGTTCTCCTCTTGCTCCTTTCATTGATTGTGCAAGTGTTGCTGTAACAAAGAAATATAAATTTTTTCTATATACAGTGCCCTCCACAATTATTGGCACCCCTGTTTAAGATGTGGTCGAGGACTTCCAAAAATGATCCTTTTTTTTTTAAACAACATAGAACCCAAATGCAAAAAAAGAGAAAAATCCAACCTTTTATTTAAGTACATTACTTTGGTGTAAAAAAAAATAATAACACATTTAGAAAAAAAAAACTTGAAATCATGTGTCCCACAATTATTGGCACCCCTGATGTTAATACTTTGTACAACCCCCTTTTGCCAACAAGACAGCACTTAATCTCCTCCTATAACATTTCACAAGATTGGAGAACACAGAGAGAGGGATCTTTGACCATTCTTCTTTGCACAATCTTTCTAGATCATCCAGTGTCCTGGGTCCTCTCTTATGCACTCTCCTCTTTAGCTCGCCCCACAGGTTTTCGATTGGGTTGAGGTCTGGGGACTGAGATGGCCATGGGAGGACCTTGAGTTTGTGACTGCTGAACCATTTTTGTGTAGATTTTGCCACATGTTTTGGATCATTATCCTGCTGAAAGACCCAATGACGACCCATCTTCAGCTTTCTGGCAGAGGCCATCAGGTTTTTATTTAAAATGTCCTGGTAGTTCAAAGCGTTCATAATGCCATGCACTCTAACAAGGTTCCCAGGGCCTTTGGAAGAGAAACAGGCCCACAGCATCACAGATCCTCCACCATACTTCACGGTGGGCATGAGGTGCTTTTCGGCATACTCATCTTTTGTTTTACGCCAGACCCACTTAGAGTGTTTGTTGCCAAAAAGCTCAATCTTAGTCTCATCTGACCAAAGCATACGATCCCAGTTGAAGTCCCAGTGCCGCTTAGCAAACTCCAGACGTTTACGTTTGTGAGTGTTAGTGAGAAAAGGCTTTTTCCTTGCATGCCTCCCAAACAGCTTGTTGGCATGTAGAGAGCGTCTGATGGTTGTTTTGGAGACTTTGTGACCCCAAGATGCCACTCTTTGATGCAATTCTGTGACAGTGAGCTTAGGACTTTTTTTTACTTCTCTTACCATCCTCCTCACTGTGCGTTGTGGCAAGATAAACTTGGGACCTCTTCCAGCCTTGTTTGTCACTGTTCCAGTTGTTTTAAACTTCTTAATGATTCCTCTGACTGTAGATACGGGCAAGTTAAGGCGAGTGGCTATTTTCTTGTAGCCATTGCCTGACTTATGAAGGTCGACACAAATCTGCCTTACTTGAATGGTGTGTTCTCTTGTCTTTGCCATGTTGACAAATGGGTAAGATAATTAGGCCTCTGTGTCACGTCATATTTATACCCCAGGGAAACAGGAAGTCATTAATTACTAATTAAAAGTTCCTAGATACCCTGACCAACTTTAGCAACTACAGAAAAATATATTTTTAAAAAAATCAATTAAAATTTTCAGCGGAATTGTTAGGGGTGCCAATAATTGTGGGAAGAATCCAATAAAAACCATACATGTATAAAATCTTTCAAAAACAATCATACAAGTTTGTTTGATTTTGGATTGTTGACTCCATCATTCCTTTGTTTTAATGGTTGAAAAGCTCAACATATACACACAAAACACAAGGCTGGTGCTCAGTGTAAGTTCTGGTTCTGGTTCCGTACCTCGTACAGTATCGGACTGCAGCTCCGTCCTGACTATCTGCTGTACTGCCCTCTGCAGAGCTACACGGTCCTGGCCTGGTCCAGTGGCTGTTCCTGGACCTGCTCCTGCTGATGCTCCCAGATTGATACCATTATCAGAGCGGAGCAGTGTGGTAGAGGAGAAAGAGGAGGTCTTGTCTATGTATGCAGACTCCAGAGGGTCTATGATGTTAATGGCTGAGGAGGAGGAGAGGCGACTAGAATGGGCTGAGGAAGAGCTGGAGGCTTGTTCCAAGGCGTCCACACGAGCTTTAAGACGTTTGACTTCTTCGGCTGTAAGTGGTTGGAAGAGAAAGAGAGGGAGGGGGAAAGGGAGAAAACAGAGAAGGAAACAGAGAGAAACATGGACAAAGATCGAGTGAGAGAAGCGAGAAACAGATAAATACAGTAGAGAAAGATCAGAGAAAAAGAGAGATTTACTTAGCTCTCTATAACAGAGACAACCACATCAATCAAACCACCCCAGTGCCCTGCAGCTCCGCTCCTCCTTTCTTACCCAGGGCGATGAGTCCAAAGAGGAGCCCCAGGAGGAGCAGGAGACCCAGCAGGAGGCCCAGCAGCCACTTCCACCAGGAGCAGCAGGACCAGAAGCCCAGACCTCCTCCAGACTCGTCCTTACGTATCTCTGATCGAAGAGAGAGGTAGAGGACACAGGGGTCAAGAACCAGCATCAGTAGAGTATCATGAAGAATACATAAGAACAGGCATTTAGGGCTGAATCCTAACTTGATACAGACATGTAACATGCTTTCACTGAAATCATCATTTAATGATGGCTATGACAGATTTTAGGTGAATTATGAATTGTGCTTATAGATTGTTACATTGGGATTCAGCAATTATGCAACTATTTCAATTTCAAAGTATAATTACACTATACCTGCATAGGTTGCCTTGTCTTTCGTTGACACTTTCATCAAGGATCCAGCTTTAAAAAACAGCAGGGGAAGAACAGAGTGTTAGTAACACAAGTCAAGGTGTGGTGAAAATGTCTATTCATTCTATCACTTCTGTTATCTACCGTTAGTTTCTGTGGTTCTGGCTGTAGCTGTCTCCTCAAAGCTGGATACCTTCTTCTTCTCCTTCTTCAGTGAGTCCTCAGAATAGGCTAGAAATAAATCAACTTAATGACTTCACCACAACTCAAAGACAAGGGCTAACACTAAGACAGTGGGACTGTAGTGTTTTATTGGGCATAGAAATATTTATGATCTCATAGGACTGGTACCATTTTCCATCAGAAGGTTCTTCTAATAGAGCAGACAATTGCATTTTTAGTAAATCATATATATTTAGTGAAAACCCTCCTTTGTGTGTACATTTCTGGTATTCTCACGTCTTGGATTGCAATATTCCGATGATGGGTTCTTCTAAACTTGAAATATTGTTAATCATCAGGTATCCTATGGAAATGCTACACCAGAAGTTAATGGTTATCTGTAGGAGGAATGTATATGGTGAGGTCAATTAAGGTTGGATATGAGCCAGGGCCTTGGAATGTACTGAGGAAAGGAAAGGCAGTCACATGGTTGCAGTCACTGATAAGGGTGGAGAGCTGTGGATTAGTCAGGAATGGGGGCCGAGGTCAGGTCACATTAAGGGAGAAGGAACAGTTTATTACCCATATCACTTAACTTCCTGCCTAGCAATAAAGATGTCATGTTTAGAGGGAAGGAGGAGTTCACCTAAATTGGAGTATATATATTTGTGATGGTAAGAACATGTCTTTGTCTGTTCAGCTGTCTGACCTATTGGGTGAATAAACTTGGTTTGAGCTTTTATAGTTGTCCGTTGGTTTTTACCCTGTTATTTAGAACCTAACACAGGTAACTTTCCCAAAATTCCCAGGTTCCTAGAAATCATGCCTAGAAGATTCCAAGAATAAGCAGGGAATCTGGAGTCCTCCAACCAAGATTTCAGGAAAACCTGGTAATTTTGGGAAAGTTACTGGAATTTTGCAAACATATTTATCTTACAACAACCTCTCCCTCAACGTCAGCAAGACAAAGGAGCTGATCGTGGTCTACAGGAAACAGAGGGCCGAGCACACCCCCATCCACATCAATGGGGCTGTAGTGTAGCAGGTCGAGAGCTTCAAGTTCCTCTGTGTCCAAATCACTAAGGATCTATCATGGTCCGTACACACCAACACAGTTGTGAAGAGGGCATTACAACGCCTCTTCCTCCTCAGGAGGCTGAAAAGATGGTGCAGCTGAAAAGATTTGGCATGTGCCCTCAGATCCTCAAAAAGTTATACAGCTGCACCATTAAGAGCATCTTGACTGGCCGCATCACCGCCTGGTATGGCAACTACTTGGCATCCGACAACAAGGCGCTCTAGAGGGTAGTGCGTACGGTCCAGTACATCACTGGGGCCGAGCTCCCTGCCAACCAGGACCTCTATACCAGGCGGTGTCAGAGGAAGGCCCTACAAATTGTCAGACTCCAGCCACCCAAGTCATAGACTGTTCTCTCTGCTACCGCATAGCAAGTGGTACTGATGCACTAAGTATGGAACCAACAGGACCCTGAACAGCTTTTCTACCCCCAAGCCATTAGACTGCTACAGTGAGGGAAAAAAGTATTTGATCCCCTGCTGATTTTGCACATTTGCCCACTGACAAAGGCATGATCAGTCTATAATTTTAATGGTAGGTTTATTTGAACAGTGAGAGACAGAATAACAACAATCAAATCCAGAAAAACGCATGTCAAAAATGTTATAAATTGATTTGCATTTTAATGAGGGAAATAAGTATTTGACCCCTCTGCAAAACATGACTTAGTACCTGGTGGCAAAACCCTTGTTGGCAATCACAGAGGTCAGACGTTTCTTGTAGTTGGCCACCAGGTTTGCACACATCTCAGGAGGGATTTTGTCCCACTCCTCTTTGCAGATCTTCTCCAAGTCATTAAGGTTTCGAGGCTGACGTTTGGCAATTCGAACCTTCAGCTCCCTCCACAGATTTTCTATGGGATTAAGGTCTGGAGACTGGCTAGGCCACTCCAGGACCTTAATGTGCTTCTTCTTGAGCCACTCCTTTGTTGCCTTGGCCGTGTGTTTTGGGTCATTGTCATGCTGGAATACCCATCCACAACCCATTTTCAATGCCCTGGCTGAGGGAAGGAGGTTCTCACCCAAGATTTGACGGTACATGGCCCCGTCCATCGTCCCTTTGATGCGGTGAAGTTGTCCTGTCCCCTTAGCAGAAAAACACCCCCAAAGCATAATGTTTCCACCTCCAGGTTTGACGGTGGGGATGGTGTTCTTGGGGTCATAGGCAGCATTACTCCTCCTCCAAACACGGCGAGTTGAGTTGATGCCAAAGAGCTCGATTTTGGTCTCATCTGACCACAACACTTTCACCCAGTTCTCCTCTGAATCATTCAGATGTTCATTGGCAAACTTCAGACGGGCCTGTATATGTGCTTTCTTGAGCAGGGGGACCTTGCGGGCGCTGCAGGATTTCAGTCCTTCACGGCGTAGTGTGTTACCAATTGTTTTCTTGGTGACTATGGTCCCAGCCTCCCGTGTAGTTCTGGGCTGATTCCTCACCGTTCTCATGATCATTGCATCTCCACGAGGTGAGATCTTGCATGGAGCCCCAGGCTGAGGGAGATTTACAGTTATTTTGTGTTTCTTCCATTTGCGAATAATCGCACCAACTGTTGTCACCTTCTCACCAAGCTGCTTGGCAATGGTCTTGTAGCCCATTCCAGCCTTGTGTAGGTCTACAATCTTGTCCCTGACATCTCTGGAGAGCTCTTTTGTCTTGGCCATGGTGGAGAGTTTGGAATCTGATTGATTGATTGCTTCTGTGGACAGGTGTCTTTTATACAGGTAACAAACTGAGATTAGGAACACTCCCTTTAAGAGTGTGCTCCTAATCTCAGCTCGTTACCTTTATAAAAGACACCTGGGAGCCAGAAATCTTTCTGATTGAGAGGGGGTCAAATACTTATTTCCCTCATTAAAATGCAAATCAATGTATAACATTTTCGACATGCGTTTTTCTGGATTTTGTTGTTGTTATTCTGTCTCTCACTGTTCAAATAAACCTACCATTAAAATTATAGACTGATCATTTCTTTGTCAGTGAGCAAACGTACAAAATCAGCAGGGGATCAAATACTTTTTTCCCTCACTGTAAGTCGTTAAATAGTTAACCAAATAGCTACCCGGACTATCTGCATTTACCCTTTTTGCACAATTTCTTTTTATCTCATCACATACGTTGCTGCTACTCTTTATTATCTATCCTGTCTAGTCACTTTATTCTTAGTTGTATGTATATATCTACCTCAATTACCTTGTACCCCTGCACATCGACTCAGTACTGGTACCCCGTGTATATAACCATTGTGTATTTATTATTAATTGTATTATTTAGTGTTATTACTTTTCTATTATTTTTCTATTTTCTTTCTCTCTGCATTGATTGGAAGGGCCCGTAAGTAAGCATTTCACTGTTAGTCTACATCTGTTGTTTACGAAGCATGTAACAAATACAATTTGATTTGATTTGAGTGTTGCCTACCAATAGCAGTGGCAGCAGAGGAGAACTGTTTGCCGGTATCTTTGGTCATGATGAGTCTCTCCGTCTCTTTCTTGACGGGCGCGTTCTCTTTCTCCAGCAGTATGAACTTGTAGTCTTTGGTGAAGACATCTCCACTGGTAGGACTGCCAGGTGCCACTGAGAAATAGGCAGCAAAAACATTCAGTATAAACTGGTTAGTGTCATGAATACATGATAGGACAGAGTAGGAGAGGATGTCCTTTTACTGTAGTGGGCTAAATCAGGGTCACACAGAGTGTTTCTTGGTAGTCTTAAACAAATCTACTTTGAAACAAAAGTATACACCTCACACACATTGTTATGGGCTTAAATTTTTTTAACACTTGTACCATGTCAGATATACAGTTGAAATGTATTCAATTTTGAGTTTGCATCCCAATATTACCCTTTATATACATCACAAAATACTGAAATATAACAAAAACGTTTGACATAGAAACACCAGATTTTTGGCTTACAAAACAAAAAATAAGTGTATTAATTATGAAATTATGAAAAGTATTAATAACATTCCACCAATGAGGCAACTAGAGGGCGATTTGGTAATTTGACTGCAGGAAAGGGCTACACTTGTCTTGGTGCTGCTGCTTCCACATATAATACATGTACATACAGTGACTTCGGAAAGTATTCAGACCCCTTGACTTTTTCCACATTTTGTTACGTTACAGCCTTATTCTCAAATGGATTCAAAAAGAAAAAATCCTCAGCAATCTACACACAATACCCCATAATACCAAAGCGAAAGCAGGTTTGTAGACATTTTTGAAAATGTATAAACATTTAAAAACACAAATACCTTGTTTACAGAAGTCTTCAGACCCTTTGCTATGAGACTCGAAATTGAGCTCAGGTGCATCCTGTTTCCATTGATCATTCTTGAGATGTTTCTACAACTTGATTGGAGTCCACATGTGGTAAATTCAATTGATTGGACATGATTTGGAAAGGCACACACCTGTCTATATAAGGTCCCACAGTTGACAGTGCATGTCAGAGCAAAAACCAAGCCATGAGGTAGAATGAATTGTCCGTAGAGTTCTGAGACAGGATTGTGTCGAGGCACAGATCTGGGGAAGGGTACCAAAACATTTCTGCAGCATTTAAGGTCCCCAAGAACACAGTGGCCTCCATCATTCTTAAATGGAAGAAGTTTGGAACCACCAAGACTCTTCCTAGAGCTGGCCCCCCAGCCAAACTGAGCGATCGGGAGAGAAGGGCCTTGGTCAGGGAGGTGCCAAGAACCCGATGGTCACTCAGACAGAGCTCCAGAGTTCCTCTGTGGAGATGGGAGAACCTTCCAAAAGGACAACCATCTCTGCAGCACTCCACCAATCAGGCCTTTATGGTTGAGTGGCCAGACGGAAGCCACTCCTCAATAAAAGGCACATGACAGCCCGCTTGGAGTTTGCCAAAAGGCACCTAAAAACTCTCAGACCATGAGAAACAAGATTCTCTGGTCTGGAGGAAACCTGACACCATCCCTACGGTGAAGCATGGTGGTGGCAGAATCATGCTGTGGGGATGTTTTTCAGTGGCAGGAACTGGGTGACTAGTCAGGATTGAGGCAAAAATGAACGGAGCAAAGTACAGAGAGAATGTCCTTGAGTGGCCCAGCCAGAGCCCGGACTTAAACCTGATCGAACATCTCTGGAGAGACCTGAAAATAGCTGCGCAGCAATGCTCCCCATCCAACCTGACAGAGCTTGAGAAGATCTGCAGAGAAGAATGGGAGAATCTCCCCAAATACAGGTGTGCCAAGCTTGTAGCATCATACCCAAGAAGACTCGAGGCTGTAATCGCTGCCAAAGGTGCTTCAACAAAGTACTAAGTAAAGGGTCTGAAAACAATTTAATCAATTTTTGAATAAGGCTGTAACCTAACAAAATGTGGAAAAAGTCAAGGGGTCTGAATACTTTCCAAAGGCAATGTATATACATAGAATCAAATGTTTTATGTCTATGGTTGCCTAATTCTTATCTATGCAAAACAAAGTATTTTGGACTCACCAGTGGTTGTGGACACCCCTGTGCTTGTGACATTTCTCTGCACACCATAGACTGTCAAACACAGAAATACATGCAGGGTGAATTTAACATGATTTAAAAACATGTGAAACATACCTCCCACAATGAATATGGCCATTACCCTCTTGATCCAGGTGGATTTGTCAACACTCAACACTTCATCCATACCTGTTTGTGCGTTGACTCCATTAGCTGTTAGGATACCACCAGTGGTGGTGGCCAGGTTATTCTGCATACCGTAAACTAGAGTAGGACAAAGGAGAAAAAAACATTCGATACACTACTACTGAAAGCATCGGATTGGTGTCGACATGGGCTAGAGGGAGTTTCTATAGATCAGCAGGGATGGGCAAACATTAAGAAATGCAATTACAAAATACCATAAAGATCAATCTATCAACATTTTGAAATGTATTTAATTCAAATACAAATATTTTGTATTTTAAAATACAGAAATACATCTGCAAGTAGATGGCCCCAACAGCAACAACATTCTCAGTAACGGTTACAGAAATGTTTTACTTGCTATGACTGATATGTTGTTGTTTATATACAGTACCTAAGTTGAATGCACTGACTGTACGTCTCTCTGGATAAGAGTGTCTGCTAAATTACCAAAATGCAAATTATGTGAAAATGAACATACCAAAATGAACTGCAAAGCACACTGGGTATTATTATTGGCCTTGTTCCGGGGTGGAGCTCATTAGAATACTACTCAGCATGCTTTGCAATTGTACATTTTTACATATACATTTATATTTAGTTCATTTAGCGGATGCTCTTATGACACCATAGTGCCATCAGACTTCTGATATCAATGCAGGGTGAAAGGGGGCCACAAAATTGGGGGGGAGTATTTTGTATTTTGAAAATACAAATTACAGCTCTCGAAAGTATCTTGTTACAAAATACATTGGAGTGTAGTTCAGCACAGGTAATACAAATGACTAAATAGTCAGGAGTAATTGAAATACATATTTCAAATACATGTAACAGAAATACTGCCATATATGTATACCAGTCACTTACTTTCAAATCCATGAAGGTAAAGGAACAAGTGCACATTTCGAGAGAAAGGAGAGATTATTGGGAAGCACCCATAGAGAGATGATAGATGTTGAGGGAGATGTTTACCAGTGCTAGAGGCGGAGAGTCCAGAGTTCATGGATGTAGAGCTGAGGGCCAGGTTGTTCTGAAGCCCTGTGGCTGTAGAAACATTGATAAACATCCACATCGATTGAGTAACACCCACAATAACATACAGTACATTGACATTTTCTTTTTAATACTTTCTTAGGTTTTTTATATCGCACACAAATCTAGTTCATTTTAATCATGTCCTTATTATCTCTTGGATTAAACCTGTTCAGTTATAGAAATATCCTCTATGATGGTGTGTATGATTAAATTCAGATTACATTTCTGTTGGCACTATTATCACTCCATATCATGTCATTCTTATTAGACTAATTGTGACTGTATATTTGGTGGTGTCCATTGCTGACCTGTGAGTGTGGTGGGTGAGTGTTGGAGGGTGGAGGTGGGGGACAGGTTGATGGCGTTGGTGTGGTAACCATAGCCTCCAGCCGAGGAGCCTGACCACATGTAGGAAGGCATGCCTGAGTCCAGGGTGGCGCTTTCATACTGGCCTGGGAGAGAGGGAAAGGGTTAACAGGTTTTATGTATGTATGTTTATAAAAACCTTTATTTAACCTTTTTTTAACATTTAACCAGGTGAGTCAGTTAAGAAGACATTCTGGCCATCTAATGTTTCAGTGATTATCAAACTGTTTATTTATGTATTTACTTCCTTACTTACTACTTACATATTTACTTATTTCAGAGTGTATTTATTCATTTAAACATTTATTTATTTATTACAGAATTTAAATATTTATTTATTTACCTGGTTTTATCATGATTATACTGGTGAGTGTGCGTACCTGACTGGGAGCTCTTTGACATGGTTCTGGTCTCCACGCTGGCCTTCCTGGGGATAGGGAGGGTGCTGGTGGGGGAGCGAGGGGGGCTGATGCTGCTGGAGCGACTCCCCTTCAGCAGACGCTTCACATCTCCCAGCTCCGTCCCTACACACCACGGAGGACAGACTCAAGTGTCAGCTAACATCGCTTAGGAAACATGTACAGTGTGCAGGCTTTTCAAATGTTTTTAATTATAAAGACAGATTTTTATCAAACTGTATTTATCTTCCATCTTCAAGCATCCACACATTTTGCTCCACGTGTATTTTCCAGGGCAGATCGAGTGAGTCATAGGTTAGTGATAAGTGCCCGCGTGGTATTAGGCAACTCACATCTTTTGGCAGTGGGAGAGGCACTCTGCAGTCTGCATCTGATCTCACTCTCTGGAACAGGACACACATGGAATAGAATAGAAATGAATAGAATAGAGCAGAACATTATAGATTAGAATAGAATAGTGTATTCAGATGTGTTGTATTTTATTCAAATACAGCCACTTAAAATGGCAAAAAAGAATCATTGCATTCTGCAGTAGTGTATGGTCTGATTGATGATGCTGTGCTCTAACAGCTTGTACCTCTGCTGTTGGGTCCGCCCTCTGCTGGGTGCACTGGCAGCTGTACTTGCTGCAGCTGAAACAAAACAAAAAACACCTACATTTAATCAGGAAATCAATTATGTCATTTTTCATATCCACTTTTATTAAACATTGGAATGAAATACATTTTGAAACCACATTTAAGATTGGTAATTACCATATTCTCTCCTTGTGTATTCCGGAGAGGAGTTTTCACTGGAACTTCCTGAATACGCAGAAGAAAAACACCAGTATTAATGACTTTTCCTTCTTCATGTCATAACTGAAGTCGTACTTCAACTTCTTAATGATATTCTTAATGACATAATTATTGACTAAAGAGCATCAGAGGACCTTAGGTAGGGCCAGTAGTTTCCTGACCACATGACATGACCAGGAAATGGTTGCGCGCCCTTGCTCAGACGTTGCATGCATTAACCAATGGTTACGTGCCACGTCATCGACTGTGTCATTGACTGACAGATTGCTATAACATACGATGTGGTTAGCTAATACGTAAAATACCTATCCTGGCGTTGTAAGATCTGGCAGGTGTCAGCAACACCTGGGCAGAGGAACGCGCCCAATATCTGATCTTAGGCCCCAGAGGTCACGTGGTCAGGAAAAAAATCCTAGCCCTGGATATAATGCTATGTTCATAACCAAGTGGGAAAGTGGTATTTACCACATATGACTGGGAAAAGTCCACTTGAACGCCCCTCCAACTGGTAATTACTAGTGGGAACCTCGTCTTTTATCCCTGAGCTTCGACTTCTCCCACATGCTGACCTCTGACATCTACTAAGGAAATGACCTTGATAACAGCATTTTCAGCAGTTAAATGCAACAACAAAACATTATTTATAAAAAGCATCTATTAATATGGTTTTTGAACACTATAATTTGTTTACAAGCATGATAGCTGTACGTTTAGTTTATGGTTGACGCAGCTTGTTGGCCATTAGCCAATCTGCATTTCTCAATGAGTTCAAAGCACTTGAATGCATCCAAATGGTATTTACGACTTCACAACTGGTAATTACCACCTTCCCACTGGTTATGAACACAGCATATGAATAGGGTTAACCTTTGACCTTGACCTTGTGACTGACCTTCGTAGCCCACGGAGCGGGCGGTCATGGTGGTGGTCATGCTCTTTCTCTCCGTGGGGGTGGGGGAGTAGCTGACAGCAGAGGATGCAGACCCCTGTGCCCCGCCCCTCTTCACACCCCCTGACCCCGCCCCTGCCGAAGAACTGTAGTTGGACTTGGTAACCGTGGAAACGGTCACAGAGCCCAAGCCGCCGGCCGACATTTTGGCTCTAGAAGAACCCCCTCCTCCGATACCGGTACCAGAACTAGAGGCAAAACCAGAACTAGAACCAGAACTGTAATCAGTGACGGAACTGCCTCCTCCTCCTCCTCCTCCTGCTCCTTTGGAACTAGAGACAAAACCAGAATTGGAACCACCAGAACTGGAACCAGTGAAAAAACTGGAACTGGAGCTGGAGCTAAGACCACCACCAGAGATGGAGAGGGAGCCGCTGGTCTTGCTAGCCCCAAACGAGGCCCCGGCTGCAGCAGAGGAGGAACTACCAGATGAGGAGGATACTAGCACTGAGCTACTGCCTCCTGTGACGGCTCTACTGGTAGACTCTCCTACTCCAGTAGAGAGCAGCCCACTACTTGAAGAGAGACATGAGGCTAGAGGAGGAAATGAGAGAAAGAATGATTAGGACTTATACAGAGCGGAGAGAGAGGGACTTTTTCTTATACAGTAGCCTGACATATAACAATGTAGCCAGGGAGCGTCATGCACCCCCAAAATCTGAGGGGACACAAAGTATGTGAGGATAAATACATCTATTTTTCTGCATATCTAAGCATATTTCTTGAGCTGTCTGTATCCTCCTGACTGGTGGTTCTTTTTTTAAAGAAACGAAATATGCTTCTCTGCATTTCTGCTAAAAATCTGGGTAAAAGATCGAAAGGAATGTGAGTCTTATTCAGTACATTTAGTTATTGCTTGCTTTTCTAAAGTCTACCAACTTTACCAGCAGCCATGCCAGCTAAGATAGTTAGACAAGCTAGCTACTCTAACTTGATTGATAGCCTGAAATGGCTTCTTGGTAGCTAATTATGAGGTTGGGAGATTGGGAACCTATCTGGGCTAGCTAAAGCCAACTAGTAGTATTACAGAGAAAAAACGAACAAAAACAAAAAAGTATATATATATTTTTTTATATAGGACAAATCTGAGGGGGCATGTGCCCCTGTGCCCCCTATGGGCATGACACCTCTGAATGTAGCTGTCTATGTATCTGTTAAATCCTATGTCATGAATTATATATCAGTGACCATGGGAGTTCTATAGGAGCATCTAAGCTCTTTCATTGGAATAGTTTAGGCTGTGATTGACAGTACAAGAAAAACGGTATTTTACAGGATTCTGTGGATCGTTTTTATTTTTATTTTTTATATACACGTTTTCCACTGGCGCTCTGTTTGAGCGTGTCTTATGCAGTGAACACTTACATTTTATGGGATAGCTACTGCTGCTGCTGCCACCGCTCTGAGTGATGAGCTTCCTCTCCACAACAGAACCTCCGCTAGAACTGCTGGACGACACACTCTTCTGGCTGGACACGACTGAGCTAGTGGTGCCCTATAGTGGATAAATTAGGTATAGTCAGAGACCAATGCTGAGGACTTTGGTCCTGTTCGAAAACTTTATTTATTATTATTATTATTATTTTCGTCATTTAGCAGACGCTCTTATCCAGAGCGACTTACAGTTAGTGCATACATTATATATATTTATATATATATATATATTTTTTTTCATACTGGCCCCCCGTGGGAAACGAACCCACAACCCTGGCGTTGCAAACGCCATGCTCTACCAACTGAGCTACCTCCCTGCCGGCCATTCCCTACCCTACCCTGGGCCAATTGTGCGCCGCCCCATTGGTCTCCCGGTTGCGGCCGGCTACAGCAGAGCCTGGATTCGAACCAGGATCTCTAGTGGCACAGCTAGCACTGCGATGCAGTGCCTTAGACCACTGCGCCACTCGGGAGACACAGAAATGCATCCTTTTCTAGTTCCTTGCGATACGCACAGATCTATGAGTGATTGGATAGGTGTAAGCAGGGTTACCACCCTATTACTTCACCAATCTAACCAATTCAGATCTGTGATTATATCATTACATTACAAGGAAGGTAGGAAGGAAGGATGGATGCATTTCTGAAGTATTTGAACACAGCCCCAGACTTCTGAAAATGATCATGAATAATCTTCACTAACAATAATGATAGCATGAAAAACATTTTATTTAATGAATTATAGAAACTCTACATTCTGATGGACAGAGGCTAAATTAATATTTATGGGATATCACATTCACAGGTACATGTAATGTAATCACAGAAGAGGGCTCCGGGCAGCCGAGCGGAAATGGAGGAAAACTAGACTCCCTGCGGACCTGTCATCTTTTCACTCCCTCCTCTCTACATTCTCTTCCTCTGTTTCCGCTGCTAAAGCCACTTTCTACCACTCTAAATGTCAAGCCTCTGCCTCTAACCTTAGTAAGCTCTTTGCCACCTTCTCCTCCCTGCTGAATCCCCCTCCTCCTCCCCCTACCTCATCCCTCTCTGTGGATGACTTCATCAACCATTTTGAAAAGAAGGTTGACGACATCCGATCCTCATTTATTAAGTCAAATGACACCGCTGGTCCTGCTCACACTGCCCTACCCTATGCTTTGACTTCTTTCTCCCCTCTCTCTCCAGATGAAATCTTGCGACTTGTGACGGCTGGCCGCCCAACAACCTGCCCGCTTGACCCTATCCCCTCCTCTCTTCTCCAGACCATTTCCGGAGACCTTCTCCCTTACCTCACCTCGCTCATCAACTCATCCTTGACCGCTGTCCCTTCCGTCTTCAAGAGAGCGAGAGCTGCACCCCTCCTCAAAAAACCTATACTCGATCCCTACGATGTCAACAACTACAGACCAGTATCCCTTCTTTCTTTTCTCTCCAAAACTCTTGAGCGTGCCGTCTCTAGCCAACTCTCCTGCTATCGCTCTCAGAATGACCTTCTTGATCCAAACCAGCCAGGTTTCAAGACTGGTCATTCAACTGAGACTGCTCTTCTCTGTGTCACGGAGGCTCTCTGCACTGCTAAAGCTAACTCTCTCACCTCTGCTCTTATCCTTCTAGACCTATCTGCTGCCTTTGATACTGTGAACCATCAGATCCTCCTCTCCACCCTCTCTGAGTTGGGCATCTCCGGCGCTGCTCACTCTTGTATTGCGTCCTACCTGACAGGTCGCTCCTACCAGGTGGCGTGGCGAGAATCTGTCTCCGCACCACGTGCTCTCAGCACTGGTGTCCCCCAGGGCTCAGTTCTAGGCCCTCTCCTATTCTCTCTATACACCAAGTCACTTGGCTCTGTCATATCCTCACATGGTCTCTCCTATCATTGCTACGCAGACGACACACAATTTCTCCTTTCTGATAACCAGGTGGCGAATCGCATCTCTGCATGTCTGGCAGACATATCAGTGTGGATGTCGGATCACCACCTCAAGCTGAACCTTGGCAAGACGGAGCTGCTCTTCCTCCCGGGGAAGGACTGCCCGCTCCATGATCTCGCCATCACGGTTGACAACTCCATTGTGTCCTCCTCCCAGAGTGCAAAGAACATTGGCGTGACCCTGGACAATACCCTGTCGTTCTCCGCTAACATCAAAGCGGTGACCCGATCCTGCAGGTTCATGCTCTACAACATTCGCAGAGTACGACCCTACCTTACACAGAAAGCGTCACAGGTCCTAATCCAGGCACTTGTCATCTCCCGTCTGGATTACTGCAACTCACTGTTGGCTGGACTCCCTGCCTGTGCCATTAAACCCCTTCAACTTATCCAGAATGCTGCAGCCCGTCTGGTGTTCAACCTTCCCAAGTTCTCTCATGTCACCCCGCTCCTCCGCACACTCCACTGGCTTCCAGTTGAGGCTCGCATCTACTACAAGACCATCGTGCTTGCCTACGGAGCTGTGAGGGGAACGGCACCTCCTTACCTTCAGGCTCTGATCAGACCCTACACCCAAACGAGGGCACTACGTTCATCCACCTCTGGCCTGCTAGCCCCCCTACCTCTACGGAAGCACAGTTCCCGCTCAGCCCAGTCAAAGCTATTTGCTGCTCTGGCACCCAAATGGTGGAACAAGCTCCCCCACAACGCCAGGACAGCGGAGTCACTGACCACCTTCCGGAGACACTTGAAACCCTACCTCTTTAAGGAATACCTGGAATAGTATAAAGTAATCCTTCTTCCCCCACCCCCCATAAAAAAAGGTGGTTGTCCCACTAAGTTGAATGCACCAATTTGTAAGTCGCTCTGGATAAGAGCGTCTGCTAAATGATGTAAATGTAAATGTAAATGTAATGTGTATAAATGATGAAAACCTTCAGAGAGGACAAAACTTACTTGGCGGCAGTGATGTCAACCGGGTTGTTGTGGTTACTGTTTCTTTGACGACTATGAACAACAACAAAAAATACATTGACAATTCAGAAATAGGTTTCATGTTCAAATGTATTCCTGGCCAACAAACTTCTAATAATCAATTTGAATAGTACCAGGTTCAATATCATGGTACACTGCTATAATGTGTTGTGGCTGATAGGTGACATCTATAGACCATATTTGTGTATCATTCCAAAACTTCAGTCTGTATCAAAATCAAAACAAGCTTCTATAAAGCCAAATAAAAGCAAGGCAAAATAAAATATGTATTTTCTCAAGAATTTTCAGTGACTTCTTACCCATGCCACCAGCGCCCCCACCGCCACCAGCATTTACAATCTTGGTTGTCATTAGATTGTCCATCCCATGTTAACTGTTTCAAAACAGAACATGGATTGCTTTTTACATCATTTATCACACTGGTGCATGCAGAAAAATCTAAGGAAGATACTGTATGGAAATATCAAACTAAGAAACAGGACTTCAAACTATATAGATTTGTCTGAATTTATATTTTCTACGGCATTCCCCCATATTTGGCATTATGTACTACTAGGACTCTCTCTCTCTCTCTCTCTCTCTCTCTCTCTCTCTCTCTCTCTCTCTCTCTCTCTCTCTCTCTCTCTCTCTCTTTCTCACTCTCTCTGCTATAAACATTCCAAAGTTCCCTGATTGAGAATGTTTTGTTGATTTAAGCGGGGACCCTAGCCTTGGGGAAGCCAAGGTGTGGTACTGTACTGTATATTGTATTCACCTTTTATAAGGAGCAGTGATTTACTGGCGGTGCCTATAGATTTTCCTGTGAAACTGGAAGCGACTCAGGCTGAAATCAGAGCTGGGTGCTGAAATACTTTATAACTTTAGTTCACTATACTGCTGATGCAGGATTTCAGCCATGGACAAAACATAGCATAACATAGCATAGCATAGCATAACATAGCATAGGATAGCATAACATAGAATAACATAGCAGAGCATAGCATAACACAGCATAGCATAGCATAACATGACATAACATAAGATTACATAACACATCACCTGACACAACAGCATCTCTTGGACAGGTTATTTCAATAGCATTGACTGATGGGTGTAGTGTGGGCAGGTTCTAAAGCAAAACCATGGTCAGCATAATGATTTAGCCTACACTAGGAAGGATAAAACTGTGAAAATGTACAAATACACAGAAATGGTCCAAAATGGATGCTAATGCATATAAATATTTGGAAAATACTGTGTATATGGGTCTAACAGAAGCTCATCTTCTTATTAAAGAACAAAAATGTAATCCTCTCTCTAACATGTCAATGTTATTTATTGTGGACGCTAACATGAACAAGGCCAGACCTGTGTGGATTCCTTATTGGCTGCCTCAATTATTCTCATCATCCTCATCATCCAATAAACCTGAACTTACAATTTACATGTAGATTCTTGAAATTGATTACTTGAATCATTTAAATACATTTTTGAATACTGAATTCTATATGATATTATTATGTATTATAAATACTGGATAGGCTACTACTTGAATCACTGTCATTCAGAAATGCATATAAACTATTGAATATGAAATATGACCACTTGTAAAGTAATTAATGTTTTATAGCTACCCCACATGGTACACAAAGGTGTCATGTTACATGGGAGATGACCTATGACCTCTAATTAGCATCACCAGGTCAGGAGGGCAGTCTGCATCCAAAATGGCACCCTATTCCTATAGGAAATCCAGAGCCCTATGGGCCCTGGTCAAAATTGTGCACTATTTAGTGACTATTTACTCTAGGGTGCCAATTCAGACACTTAACACACAAATATCAGAGGCAAATAGGATTATCTACACAAATAGATACAGATCAAATCATCACTATGTGGTGGTAATTGACTGTCAAACATAGTTCAATTACTTGTTCTTTGCCCTCAAGTAAAGCGGAGAAAGACATTGAGGTTGAGAGAAGGAAGTATCAGTTGCCATAGGCTGTGTGCACATGTATATCACACCTGTGTATCACCCCTTCAGTTACAGGCTATTTATTACCACTAATGAACACTTGCTACACTCTCCCTTCCTCAGCCACATAGTGGTGAGAGGAGACCTCTTGCAGCTGCAGATGTATCAGTTTACCTCTTTGATGTATATGAAAAAAACACTAGCATACTAAGCACTGAATCCATCACAGTCTTAATATGGTGCGTTATAATACTATACTACCTAATTGGCACATTGGATTTGGGATTGCAATTAAATGAGGAAATTATCATTATGGTAGGCATAATTACCGGAAGGCATAATTAGGCAACAATTAGGCATAATACCTAAAAAAGCTTAACTATGCAGACAGCAACATAACTGTCATTATTACAATCGGCACTTGAACTTGGAGGGATGAACTTGTGAATGTGATCCAAAACAATCAATCCGCATTCCTTCCCAAAATGTGTAATGAATGTGTTATTAGGTCTACACAGGGGAGACATTGGTGGCAGTAAACTATTTGGATTGTAAAAATAAAAAAAATAAAAAAAATGTCATGCCTACCTCAGCCTGTTTTCCTGAAATTACCTTCCTCTCCTCTCTTCTCTATTTTCACAGAAAATTATTTGATAGCACCTGCGATCCTACCTTCTTCTGCAGTATCTCCAGGTGCGTTATGGATACAGTCCGCAGTGTTCATGCACTGTATGTGCCTGGCCCGTTTATGTATGAGTCTTTTCTGACTCATAGCTTCTACCAACATGTTGGAACAAAACAGCAGGAACAGGGCTGTAACTTCAGCCTGTGACAGACACAGCGTTTGGATACGGGGGGGATGCCCGGGGAAAGGAAAGGTAGAGTTGACACCTGTGGGTGGATGAAATACTGTAAATTAGTTGATAAAATATGGATGGCTTTGGGTAATTATTTGTCACGTTCGTTGAGTACAGGATTGGACCAAGGTGCAGCGTGGAATGCATACATGTTTATTATTAAAGTAAACACAAGACAAAACAACAAAAGCAACGTAACGTGAAGCTCACAATGGCTACACACAAACAAGCCAAACAAGAGTCAAGATCCCACAACATAGGTAGGCAAAATGGCTACCTAAGTATGATCCCCAATCAGAGTCAACGATCGACAGCTGCCTCTGATTGGGAACCACACCCGGCCAACATAGATCTACACATACTAGATCATACACATAGATATACACGTATAAACTCACACACTGACCAAAGCAACGAGAAACAACATGCATTTACAGGTCAGGGCGTGACAGTACCCCCCCCCCCCAAAGGTGCGGACTCCGGCCGCAAAACCTAACTTAACAGGGGAGGGTCCGGGTGGGCATCTAGCCTCGGTGGCGGCTCCGGCACCGGGCGTGACGTCCTCTCCCTTTCTGCCTCCCCGTTGCACCCCTGGTCTGGACCTCGGCGCGATGCTTCCCCTCTCAGTCCTCCCACGATGCACCAAGCCCTGTCTGGACCCTGGTGTGGGAGGCCCTGACCCTGGAGAGGGGCCGACGTCTGGGCCTGGACCGGCAATCCCCCGCGAAACACCAAGCCCTGTCTGGACCTTGGTGTGGGAGGCCCCGACCCTGGAGAGGGGTTGACGTCTGGTTCTGGAGTGGAGCCGCTGACTGGAGCTGAACTGGACCCCGGTGGAGCGGACTGCTCTGGCTCTGGACTGGAGCAGCTGACCGGGGCTGGACTAGGCACCGGTAGAGCGGACTGCTCTGGCACTGGAGTGGAGCCGCTGACCGGAGCTGAACTGGACCCTGGTGGAGCGGACTGCTCTGGCTCTGGACTGGAACAGCTGACCGGGGCTGGACTAGGCACCGGTAGAGCGGACTGCTCTGGCACTGGAGTGGAGCAGCTGACCGGAGCTGAACTGGACCCTGGTGGAGCGGACTGCTCTGGCTCTGGACTGGAGCAGCTGACCAGAGCTGGACTGGGCACCGGTGGAGCGGACTGCTCTGGCACTGGAGTGGAGCAGCTGACCGGAACTGGACTGGGCACCGGTGGAGCGGACTGCTCTGGCACCAGCCGTACCGGACTGGGGACAAGCGCCACTGGTCTGGTGTGAGGAACAGGCATGGGCCGCACCGGGCTGGGAACACGCACCACTGGTCTGGTGCGAGGAGCAGGCACGGGCCGTGCCGGACTGAAGACACGCACTACTGGTTTGGTGCGAGGATCAGGAACGGGCCGTGCCGGACTGGGAACATGCACCACTGGTCTGGTGTGAGGAGCAGGCACGGGCCGTACCGGGCTGGCGACCCGCACCACTGGTTTGGTGCAGGGAGCATGTACGGGCCGTACCGGACTGGATACACGCACCACTGGTTTGGTGCGGGGAGCAGGTACGGGGCGTACCGGGCTGGCGACACGCACCACTGGTTTGGTGCGGGGAGCAGGTACGGGCCATACCGGACTGGATACACGCACTACTAGTTTGGTGTGGGGAGCAGGTACGGGGCGTACCGGGCTGAAGACACGCACCACTGGTTTGGTGCGGGGAGCAGGTACGGGGCGTACCGGGCTGGCGACACGCACCACTGGTTTGGTGCGGGGAGAAGGTACGGGGCCGTACCGGACAGGATACACGCACCACTAGTTTGGTGTGGGGAGCAGGTACGGGGCGTACCGGGCTGGCGACACGCACCACTGGTTTGGTGCGAGGAGCAGGTACGGGCCGAACCGGACTGGATACACGCACCACTGGTTTGGTGCGGGGAGCAGGTACGGGCCATACCGGACTGGATGCACGCACTACTAGTTTGGTGTGGGGAGCAGGTACGGGGCGTACCGGGCTGAAGACACGCACCACTGGTTTGGTGCGGGGAGCAGGTACGGGGCGTACCGGGCTGGCGACACGCACCACTGGTTTGGTGCGGGGAGAAGGTACGGGCCGTACCGGACAGGATACACGCACCACTAGTTTGGTGTGGGGAGCAGGTACGGGGCGTACCGGGCTGGCGACACGCACCACTGGTTTGGTGCGAGGAGCAGGTACGGGCCGAACCGGACTGGATACACGCACCACTAGTTTGGTGCGGGGAGCAGGTACGGGGCGTACCGGGCTGGAGACACGCACCACTGGTTTGGTACGGGGAGCAGGTATGGGCCAAACCGGACTGGATACACGCACCACTTGTTTGGTGCGGGGAGCAGGTACGGGACTGTGGAGGCGTACTGGAGGTCTGGAGTGTAAAGCTGGCACAACCCGTCCTGGCTGGATGCCCACTTTCGCACGGCACGTGCGGGGCGCTGGCACAGGATGCACTGGGCTGTGAACGCGCACTGGCGACACAGTGCGTAGGACTGGTGCAGGATATACTGGACCGTG